ATAGTCTGGCAAGCCTAAGAAAGAATGAGGTGAAGCGCTCGAATCACTTTGCAAGCGTATTGATCATTGGAACTGTAGGTATAGTAGTTTGAAGAAGATATGTCTGAAAAGCTAGTTAGTTAAATTTTCTCAGATATATTCAAAACAATATAAAGGTGCCCTATAGTATGTATATGGTCTGGTAAAGGTTGATGCATTAGTAGTGGTTGCACTTTAAAGGTCTTCTTTCTTAGGTTTACCAGACTATAAAAGAGTTAGTGCGTGTAGTGATAGGTAATGTCAAAACACAATATTTAGCCGTTTTCACGACAGTTATCCGGCCCACAAATGGTCATTGGTCACGTTTGGTGCGATTTGGTCAAATTAGGTTCATGTGTTGGTCGCAGCGTGGTTTGCATTAGTTGTGTAGATGCCTTATCTATCAAAATATTAAGCATTATTCTGGAATAAACATTGAAATTAGTTCATGATGTAAATATATTTTCTGAAAAAGGATTTGGTTAGCTTTGGTCAAGTTTGGTGCAGATAACCCGTCATGAAAAAGGCTTATACAGTAGTTATTTTAGTTATTACAGTAGTTATTGTAGTTATTTTACGGCGTAAGAACGAACTGAGCACATCACGATACAAGTTGAGACATCGTGAAATAAATCGCCTAGACTAATCGCCTCACCCACGACCCAAAAGACACCTCTCTACAGACACGAGAGTTAGTTCGCCATTTCCATGGTCTGTATTCACAGGGGCGCTACCCTCTCGCGTGTTCTTCTTCCCCCTCCCCTCTGGAGGTAATTACCGCGCCACGCCGCAAGAAAGCAATTATCCTCGAACGGCGGCGCGGCGGCAGAGACGCAGGTCAAACGCCGGCCGTCCATCAGCCGCACAGACAAAAGGATGGGGCGGCATGCGCGACACAGGCGCTACATCGCCGAACGCCAGTCGCTGCTCTGAAGAATGTTTACGCTCTACAGTAACGTTGACTAAAAGAAACATCTGAGTAAAGCTGCGTGTGATACGCGCTTACTTTCTCTTCCTAGATAACGATAAATTTTGCCGTTCAAAAGATCACTCTAAAATTTGGTGGCATCATTGGTGGTATCATTTACCCTAAAATATATTAAAAATAAATCAAGTGAATCGTAAATGTTGGATTTTCCTTTTAATGGAAGTGGCATGTATCGTGTTACATATCGTTATCTTCCAAGATCATCAGTCACACCGTCCTTGAGGTGTAGGAGTGGACCTGCATCTTCACATGTCCTAAATGATACCGCAAGTGAGTTGTGCCGGTCAGTCATTTAGTTGGTCTGCAATGGCGTACCCATTTGTTATCGTGATTGCTGAATTCGTTCTGGAGATAAACAAACGGACCCGCACAACCGTGCACCTGCTTGATAAATGATATATGCTGCGCAGCCACATCCTCTCAGTCCTTATTTAAAGGGACCCTCCCACCTTAACATTAGATTTGAGTTGAGATAGCCAAAATGGGGTCCCTGGCTCACAATTACCGGTTTCGGCACTCACAACATCGAGAAATGCCTTAAATCGGAAATATTGAATTTCAAAATTGCAGCATTTTGATTCAGAGGGGCTAATGCTTAGGAATACCCCTCTGAATGTGTGACGTCAGCGCAGATATCTAACGATTTTTAAATGTTTGACTAAAACGTTTTGTAGCACGCGGTGGTATATGCTATTTGCGCGCAACATCTGCCGCAAACGCCGCACTTCTAAAATAAAGTCGCTAGAAACAGCGGAGATCCCAAAAAAGTAAACAAATGTAAAAGTCTAATATCTTGAAAACCGGTGAATATTTTTCGGTGAAATTTGGTAGATATTCGTTTTCGCTCTTTCTGAACCGAGCAACATCACTTTCATGCCAATTCATTAACTTTCTTGAAGGTGGGAGGGTCCCTTTAACCAGTATAACGCCTTTTGGGGCGACTAACGGAGCGAGCGAGAGGGTGGGCCTTGCACGTGCGAAATTGCGAGGGGGTACCTCCAACTGACTTGTGCACGGCACCCTACTAACTGGTCTCTAGCGATGTGCCAAATTTGGGCACAATCGGCCCAGCCGTTCTCGAGATCTGGAAGCGGCACCCTGCACGTGCGCACGTGCAAAATGGGTCCCAACTGACTTGTGCACGGCACCCTACTAACCGGTCCCTAACTGTGTACCAAATTTGAGCGCAATCGGTCCAGCCGTTCCCGAGATCTGGAAACGACCCCTGCACGTGCGCACGTGCAGCAGCACCCCAACTCTGGCACATGTATATGCAGTGCCTAGTGGGTGCCTACCTACATGCCAACTTTCAGCGCAATCGGCCAAGTAGTTACCGAGATATTGCAACAATTACAAAACTGACACCTCTTCGTTTTGCACGTGGCACGTGCATAAGGGGTCACCCACATGCATCGGGAATAGTCCAATACTTGGTAGAAGGAATGAAGCTACCCTACAAAAATTACCGCGTGTAAATCGGTCAAGTGGTTGCTGAGATATAAGCCTCGCAAAAGCGTGACCACGGCCGGCCGGCCGGCCGGCCGCTCATACTCAGAAATTTCCGTTAATCTAAGGAAAGACTACGCTCGCTTCGCTCGCTCCGTAACTATTCTTGATGCACAAGCGTGATCGTAACTGCGCATCTCAAGTGTCAAATTAGTTGTGCCAAATAATCCCCCTTGCAATATCCCAGGGATGACTGGACTGATTTATTTAGGTTTCCCACGGGAGCTTCCTTTCTATGTGTCAGGTATCACGATATGGGTGCTTCATTACAGGCACATGTATCTAAAAAAGGCTGACTGATTGCCTTCAAAACTGGTGCGTCATAAAGGTCCGGTGAAATCATGGTTGACCTATTTAAGTCAGTTGAGGTCTCAATTCGCACGGACTGCACATTGCACGTCATCAGTATGTAGATGTGCTCTACGTAAGAGCACTTTTATTCCAGCTTATCCCTCACCGGACCTATTGGTTTTCTACATACGCGCCGGCCGAGGGGGGGGGGCGGGTACGACCCCCCCCCGCCGTTTCGCCCCTGGTGGAGCTAGCGCGTCGTGGAAAAAACGAGCGTGTGCGCCGTTACGAGACGCAGAGATTGGTACCCGATTTTAAGGTCCTGGGTCAACCGGTGACCTCTGAGGTCAGGTCAAGTGCCCCAAGGTACGGTTCAGTTTTTGGTGAATAACTTCTCAAAAAACGGCCGCAGAGCGCCGATTTTGGCAGCATCGTGTTCGTCTCGCTCAGGCGCGTCTAATGATATACTTTTTGTCCGGGTCAGGTCAACTTGGGGTGTTGACCTCAGGTCAAGGTCAGGTCAGCACCCCCAGGTCATGACGTTGGTCGAAAGAGGTCATGTCGCATATCATTCGATTCGGCAGGTCTTCCTGAGTCCATTGGTGGCTTTCCCGACTCGCTAGCTCACTTTGATCAAGAGTTATTGACGAAAAACTAATATGACCTTGATGACGTCATAAATGACGTCACGCAAGGTCAACATTGCAAAAGTGACGCATCTAACCTTGCAAGGAGTGCATAAAATCACGATTCTGTGTGCTTGAGATAGTTGGAGATCGTTCCCGGCGCCAGAATAGCAGTTTTCATTTTTCCCCATTGACTTATAATGGTGAGGTCACGAAAATGACCTGACCTCATATGACCTTTAGAAAAAATCCGAGATATACAAGTTGTGGGACTCATAATGGATACTAGATCCTGCAAGTTTCATTTCCCTGTGACATCTCCTCTGGCAGTGAGGGCGTTGCGAAGTTGCGACATCTGAAGACCGTGCAGAGTTTCACTTATGACGTCATAGGTCAGTGACCTGACCTGACCCAAAAATGTGGTTGGTGTCAAAAGATGCGGCTTGGATCAGAGGTCAGGTATGCCAAGTTTCAGCTCTCTATCGCCAGAGTGTTCGGAGCTATCGCGAAAAAACCCTATGGGGGGGGCGGCACCCGCCCCCCCCCCCCTCGGCCGGCGAGGGTTATATGTCTTGTTTACGTTCCAGTCCCCTAATGACCGTGTTTAGCACCTGAAGATTGCTTGGATTTTGGAAGACACAATGACTGTGTTTGGACTAAAACGTTTTTACTTTCACTGACTGAAAACATCTTATGAACATCGTAAAAAGTTTTTTTTTTCAATTATTGTTTCAGATACGTCTTCACATCCGCCTTCGCATCACATCTCCTTACAAAATGGTTAGAAATCAAAACAGGTACTGACATCAGGAACTTTTTTTAGACTTTTCCTTCCGATTAAAGTGAGCTAAACAAGTCTCGCATTCAAAACGCAGGTCTTTCATGCTTTGCAATTTTGAATAAGATTTTTTTTTTCTTGAATTGCTAGAAAAAGTTGATCAACATGCCCTAAGTGAATTAGATTTTGCTATGGCTAATCAGTAACTTCCTCCATTTCAAGCAGCTTTCAGAAGTCAATCAAACACGATGGTCCAGCAATGGAAATAAATGTTTTGAGCTGGATTTAAGGTAGAATCAGCGGACATGATGTGGTACCTAATCTGCAATGCTGATGCAGGATATTGAAACAGGAGTAGTTTATGAATTCTGCAGCGCTCTGCATTATTTTCAACTCATCAGAAAATGACAAGTGCCTCTTCTTCATCGTTCTGGATCTATAGCTTCAGTAACAGACCTGTCCAATGTCCATAAGGTCAGCATCACCAATCGTTAGGGTGTGAAAGTTATGAGCAATCGAGTGAGCTGCAGTGTCTAAAGACAGTGAAGGAGCCGTGACCATGTGAGCCGTTGGTAACCGCCGGTGTGAACTCTCAGGTCAGTAGTGGAGCCTTGACCGTGTGAGGGCCGTGGAAAGCCGCCGGTGTAATGTCTCAGGACAGTTCACTGGAGGACCCGCCTCTTCCCCGCCGCGTGTGCCCACCAGTCACGGCCGGTGCTCGACCAATCAAAAGAGCCGGCGTGCCACTGGCCCCGCCCCCAGCACGTGACGAGGCCCGCCACTGCTCCCCTGCCAGTGGGTGCTGTGAGGAACACGACTCAGTGACTTGGCTGGGGGTGTGCAGGCTATTGCTGGAGTAGGCCCGGCGCATTCAATTCATTGAGAAGGTAATCGCAAAGCACTGGACGACTTTCCACCTGAAAATAGTTCGAAAAGGTGAGGTGGTTTGTTTAAATTTTGACTCTCACGAATAAGTTCTGTTCACTGTATGCCCAAAACTCAGCTGATTTGTGCATGTTTTCCTTGTCTTGTGTTTTACCTAGCGTGTCTGTAACGAAGGGTGACTGCGCGGTTCGAATGTTTTCATCGAATATCAAACTGGAAACGCAGGAACTCATTATAATACGCTATGAGCCTATTCAAGGAACTCGTATGTTAAAAGCTATAAGAAATCAGCTTGCAGGTCATCTAAAACAACCATCAGAAAGAGAAACCGATGCGAAGGGAGGTCTTACAAGTTGTTGATCCACAGATATGAGCTGAATGTATGAAGGTGTGATCTGTAAGCATGTAAACGAAGAGAGACAAACAAAATATGCATGAGGCAGCTTTTAAAACATCGAACGGGTTGAAGATAAGTTCAAGTATAGCTCCCGCCGCCCGACACCTGATGTTCGAAATTATTCCCCACGCGAAAGGGTTGGAAATGACGTTCAAATACTACTACTGTGCTGCATAACTGTTTCTTTTACAAATGCGCACATACTTACACGTTAGGGGCAAACAGTCAACAGCAGCAGCTCATACGAGGGGTGTCCGGAACGATCGCCCATGCGACTTTGGGAGCGCGTCCATCAGATGAAACGTCAGTTTGTCACGGCGTTAGTATGCTGGTATAAGTTGTTAGTTCATATTTTATTTTCCCTGTACCCTCTTATACTAACTAATCACATCATGAGAACCAAACCATTACGGGTTCTCACAGGAGCGGATTACAATCACCTTGTAAGTTGAATCAAGGGTTAAATCAACGTGTCCAAGTGACTATGAGCAGCTCATGTTTTTCGCACATATCTTCAGAACACGACACCGGATCGGTTTGGAATTTCTCATGCCTTTACATTCATCCTTTAGACACATAGTTTTCGAATTTCAGCTCCTCGTCAGGTCTGCTGGGGAAGAAGCGTCGTCATATATCAGGTCATGTTCGTGGCAATTGGTGAATGTTAGTTCGGTCTAAAGTGGCCTTCTAACTGAATTGTTATAAACGTCTAGATGATTAACAAACTGTTAAAGGTCTTGTAAACAGTTTGTCTAGCCTGAAATATGTCGTATGTTTCATATAAAATGACCTTTTTGACGACCTGACCTTTTTTACTTTTTTAAGCGCCCGAAAGATATCGGCGGTACAGGATAAAATTATTAAATCGCTCGTAGGTAGAAATTTTTTAAACGTCTCGCCGGTCGGCTCGACGTTTAAAAGATTTGTTCTACCTTCTCGCGGTTTAATATATATTAAATAATTTTCTAAAAGCCATATAAGGTTGCACTGAAGTCAACGTCACGTAAGGTCGTGCAATGTCATGCATGATGTTGGCTATATAACTAGGCTACTTTATGGATTAAACTTGGTCATAAGTTTTTAATTTACTCCACTGAGCACCCGGATTATCTATGTGTCCTGATGAAACAAGTCAGTCTGAGTTCACTTGGAAATTGGGATAAACCTTGTTTAGGCCTTTCCCCACTAAAAAGTAGCTACATGAACCCATGCCACAAGACCAACGTAAGGAGGCACATGGCCCTCGAACGTGTTTTGACCAATATTTGTATTTATGCAACCCTTTTTACCCGCGCATGGCTGGGGTATTTTCCATAACGCACATGTGCGATTAGGCTCATTTTTGGTTTACACACTCCTTGATATGTGCTTTAGATACCCTGATGGAACCAATCTTTTACTTCGAATTTTTAAGATCAAGGCCAGGTCATCCTAGGTCACGGATATTTAATGTCATGTATCAGTCACGTGACGCATGTTATATGGTCCATTTCACTCATAGATTTATTTCAAAAACAGCATCGTATGAGTCATTTGAGTTTATTTTCAGCGGCATTTAGCTGAGGTCAGGTCACTTTCAGGTAAAAAAAAATCAAATTTTGAAAATTCACAAAAATATGTATAATAGATGCAGATTGAGCTCAGGCAAACGATGGTGCGATTTATATTACTGTACGATGTCAAAAACCAACTGAAAAATAGTTCTGAAAAAACTAAATTGCAAAATTTTGATTCTAATGCGTACAACTCAGCCATCTTTTAAACATTGGGTTAAAACTTTTACAGTAGTTAATCGGTGGGTGTACTATCACATATATTTCGGGTTTTTCAAAAAAAAAGTCAATTTGGAAGAAAAAAATCATTTTTGGTAATTGTAGGAATATACATAAAGAAATTTTTTAAATTTGGAAAATCCGAGACGACAGCTTGATAGCCACATATATTCTCAGTCCACAAATGCAAAGAAATCGGATCTAGCCTAAAAAAACTCAGCTTTTGAGAGCGATTACCGTCGTTAAACGTTGTGCATCGAAATTGGCCGACATGACGTCACTCTTACGTCATTTTCGGCCGATCTGTGCTAGCTAGATTTTTTATTTTAACACAAGGTGTCAGATTGATGCTGCTGAAGGCACTGCAAGTTTCGTATTGATACGTCAAGCGGTCTAGAAGATATTGCAGAAAAACGGAATGGGCTCTGTAGAGCTCTCCCCCCCCCCCCCAGTCATGCGCGGGTTAAGTTATTTGCCAAATGCCGAATATCCAACCTTTCACTCATCGACCTGACCTGTAAGGTCTCGATTGATCTGACGCCTTGAAATGGGGTCTCTCAAGGAGTCGTCTTTTTTCACAGAGCAATAGCTTAACCCTCGCCGGCCGAGGGGGGGCGGGTGCCGCCCCCCCCCCCCATAGGGTTTTTTCGCGATAGCTCCGAACACGCTGGCAATAGAGAGCTTAAACTTGGCATACCTGACCTTTGATCCAAGCCGCATCTTCTGACATCAACCGCATTTTTGGGTCAGGTCAGGTCACTGACCTATGACGTCATAAGTGAACCTCTGCACGGTCTTCAGATGTCGCAACTTCGCAACGCCCTCACTGCCAGAGGAGATGTCACAGGGAAATGAAACTTGCAGGATCTAGTATCCATTACGAGTCCCACAGCTTGTATATCTCGGATTTTTCCTAAAGGTCATATGAGGTCAGGTCATTTTCGTGACCTCACCATTATAAGTCAATGGGGAAAAATGAAAACTGCTATTCTGGCGCCGGGAACGATCTCCAACTATCTCAAGCACACAGAATCGTGATTTGATGCACTCCTTGCAAGGTTAGATCCGTCACTTTTGCAATGTTGACCTTGCGTGACGTCATTTATGACGTCATCAAGGTCATATTAGTTTTTCGTCAATAACTCTTGATCAAATTGAGCTAGCGAGTCGGGAAAGCCACCAATGGACTCAGGAAGACCTGCCGAATCGAATGATATGCGACATGACCTCTTTCGACCAACTTCGTGACCTGGGGGTGCTGACCTGACCTTGACCTGAGGTCAACACCCCAAGTTGACCTGACCCGGACAAAAAGTATATCATTCGACGCGCCTGAGCGAGACGAACACGATGCTGCCAAAATCGGCGCTCTGCAGCCGTTTTTTGCGAAGTTATTCACCAAAAACTGAACCGTACCCTGGGGCACTTGACCTGACCTCAGAGGTCACCGGTTGACCTAGGACCTTAAAATCGGGTACCAATCTCTGCGTCTCGTAACGGCGCACACGCTCGTTTTTTCCGCGACGCGCTAGCTCCACCAGGGGCGAAACGGCGAGGGGGGGGGGGTCGTACCCGCCCCCCCCCCTCGGCCGGCGCGTATGTAGAAAACCAATAGGTCCGGCGAGGGTTAATTAGGGATTACTCGCGAAGGAGGTGTGAGTCGCAACCTCACCGATTCTACGCGGTCTTATAGAAAGGACATTGGCAATTCCAAATGACCAAAATGGCCAAAATATACGTTTTAAGGCATAAGTGTTTTAGATGTGTCAGCCTTAGCTGACACAGCTTAGACACTGAGAATGGATATGAAGTGTAGAAATTAGCATATGCCTACTTTTAACCATATAAACTTTAACTGGAGTCTTCTGAGAGAAAGTTTAAGTAATGAGAAGAAGTTGTAGTAGATACTACAGGTATGACAGCATTGCATTTATGTAATGCGAAGAGCAAGGTAAGGGACTCTTATATATAAGAGATCATTACTGAAGTTGCGCCTATACAATAGCCTACACAGGGCTACGGTGGCATAGGCGGTGCCAGTGAGTTGGAAATATGTATAAAGAAAATGAGCTGGGCCGATATATTTAGCCACTGTTTTCACTTGCTGGTATAGAAAAAGTAAAACTAGCATGATTATGATAGTTTGGAGATAAAGAAAAGAATGTATAATGCTTAGCATTTGTAGGGACTATTGTTGTAGGTATGTTGTTTTGTTGTGTCGCGTCGGCCACCGGCGAGTCGGCGCGCGGTGCGCGGGCCGGCCCCGAGCCGGTGACCCTAGCGCTAGCACGGTGTGATATGTTTTTGTGCGCGAAAGGGAGGAGCGAAGGAGGCAAGCGGAGCCGGAACCGTGCGCCACCGTCAGCCGATTGGTGCCGAGTCGGCACAACAAAGCAACATACCTACAACAATAGTCCCTACCCATTACATACAATATGATAATGCAGTTCGCGTTTTTTTTTTCTTCTTCCAGATTAAGATCATCCATTCAAATTGCAGTGTAAGAAAGTGGAGCGCATTCCTATAATCCCAACGACCTTTCTAAGACACCGAAATGTGGTGTGCTCTTTTTGTGAAATCGATATGCCGGGCATGCAGCCAGCTCTGGTGATCCTAAAACATCGAATCCTCTCGAAGGTGCCCGAGCCCCAGATAATCGCATATCGCGCATGCAGCACCCCACCCCGGCCTCCGAGTGAGCCGGCGCCGAACGGTTGTCCAATCTGCTCGCTCGGCTGGGTGGATTTGGCCCTATGGCCGGCGGGCGCCGCGACCGGTCGTCTCGGCTCCTTGTGACGATGATGGCCAGCTAACGCTGATGACCCGGCGGCCAAGTGGCGGCTGTCGGCCAGCAGTTTAGCCGGCTGCCGGCGACACCGGCCTGCCGCCGTACCTGATTGTCATGCGGCCGCCACGCCGCCGGCGTCGCACAAAACAGCGATAGCGGAGACCAAACAACAGCCAAGCTCCGCCGGGAGAGAGCCGCTGCGGACCGACGGAGGCAGACCCTCGAGACGAGAGGGGAGGGCTCGCAGCTGGCAGCGTCCGGTGAGATAGGTAGTAGTTGAGGCCCTTCATTGTGTGGCATAAGACGAGGTATCCCAGAGAGCTCCTGTCGTTTTTCCGGTGCTCCTGAAACGGCGGATCGCTGCTAATGGCTCACGGTATGGTCCAGCAGCTTCCCCGCCGCCGCCGACTTCTGCCCCATCATTCAATAAATCACGGCCAGGAGAGGGAGGCCGGGATAAGAGAGCCGCAACCACCATCCAGACTCGACCGGCAGGCCGCGTCTCCCCTCGACAGACCAAACTCGCCGTAAAGTAGCCGCGGTAGATTCCCGGAACGCTCGGCGAAGGGCGGCGCGCGGAGCAAGGAGACTGCAGATGATGGCAAATTGAGTGGTGATTTCGGTAATCACTTGGAAACGAAACGTAAGGTCGGTGTGTCGTTCAATCCGACTCCTAATTATGATGAAAGCTAACGATAAAGCATTGTTTTGCTTATATCAAATTACCAAAGGCATAGGCATCCATTTGAAGTTAACTATTAATTGATATTCAAGCTGAATGCTCGTCTTCTACACTTAAGCTAATGATGATTATGTTTCTAAAGCAACTTGACCATCTTTCGTCGTTTTGTTCGTTTTCAGCCGTGATCGTGGCAGTGCCGTTAACGCTTTGTGAACGGTCGATTTGAGAAAAAATGCATTGCACCTAGGTACTGAGGAAGTGGTAGGGGCTGCACCGAGTACGCTCTTCTGGAAGGTAGCACCAATCTTGGCGGAACAGCCAACCAAATCAGATGTCCATATTGGGGAAAGCAAATCGTCTGTAATTAGGTATACACTTCTTAATCCCCTGAACCATAAGATATTTAAACCTATTGGCAAGGATCCGATGCAAGTGCAGGTGTGTACTAGAAACGGAATAGTATGTACATACATACATAGGTTGGCACGGGAATTATGACGATGTTTTTCGTTTCAGCCGGAGCACTTATTGGAGCGATGAGCCAGTACTGATGCTTGAAGCATGATCTCAAGGAAAACGGTCATAATCGTCCTCGTTATTCTTCCACTAGGTAAGTTGGAAGAACACAAACCTCACATATGCTATCATGCAAGACTAGCTGCGATGCTGCCGTAGTCTCATTGGGGTCGATTTGGCTGTCCCCCAAAAGAAATTCTGGGCTTCTGCTCTGACCCGTTTTCCTGAAATCACGTTTTAGATTTATTTAGGCATATCAAAAGCCTCATAAAATGATGCGCATGTAGACCTAGCAACAACTCTCAGAGCCGATAAGTTGAAGGAACACATTACCTCATGACATGCACTTGCATATCTAGCCGTGTTCCAAAACACGCCCGCGCGGCGGCACATACCTAACTTGTGGACGACGCATACCGTGACGACGGACATGTTGGTCACACCAACTTGTTCGGGAGCAGACTTCTCACGTGTATAGGTATAGGTATTTACAACTGGCCTTGACGATACTTCACTGGAATGTCACCATGGGGCTGAGAAAGGTCAAGCTACCATCATAGCCTTCAGTTTCCGTCGTGTGACTCTGCTTATACAGACATCTGTTTAATGTCGGCTGCTGAGCTGGTTTACACAGCGCGTGCCGGCCGGCCGCGCTGCGTCACGTCTCTGTCGCGTCGCGACCGCCGCCGCCGCGCCACTTGTCGCCGCCGGCACGTGCGCCGATGATGATTGTGGCGGCTTATCGGCTCGTCTGGGCGGGCGGCGCGGCCGCAGGTACCGGCACCAGCGCGGCCGCGGCGGCCCTAACTCGCGCCGACAAATGCCCACTCCTTATCCGCCAGAGGTGGAGTTAGACCCCTGAAGTGGCCGCAGCTGAAAATGGCTGGACTTTTAGCACCGGCTCCTATAGCTTTTATACCCTGGCAATCCGTTTAATTTGAACATACTTGAGATTTTCTCGAAATAGGCCCGCGATTTAGAAAATATTGCAGGTGGGTGCAATGAACTTTCTAGTAAAGAACTGGTGGGCAGGAAAATGCAAAATTTGGTTACGATGCCCAGCTTGAAACACCTTGTAGAAGTTTTATTTGAACAGTCGCATACTCGGGTCATCGAATTGACAGCGTCATATTTGTAAGATGCTCCATTATTTTCACAGCGCTCATAGTCGCTATTTTTATACGTTTGTAGGTAGATATAGCTCTGAAGGTACGGCTGAACTACAACTCGCAACGCACACAAGGTCGTCGGGTGTGGGAGCTACCAAGGCCACCAATGTATGTACCTATTTTCGGTTTCAGCAGAACAGGATTGGCTGAGCGGAAGCCGTTTTTCGTGGTCGGTCTCTACGGGCCGTCAAGATATCAATGCAGCCTCACCAAGCTACCCAAAGCAAAACATCCCTACACCAACCGGAACTTGAGTCATAACTAAGCATTACCGTGCTCCATCTCCATGCAGCTCTCTTCTTCACTTTTTCTCAGTGCAGGATTGGCTGTAAATATGATGTTAAAAACGTATCATGATCAAAGAATCAGGCTTAAATAAATTTTGCGTTAAATGTAAAATTATTAACGTCATGAGTCTTCACTATTCATACTTTTTGTCATCACCTGCATAATGCTAACAGCTTAGCTAGAATCCGTTCCAGTTTTGTCAGCTGACGATTCCTAAAGCTCGAACCATTCCTAAATAGTCGGAAAACACACCAAACACAGCCCACTACCCACTACCCCAAGGCGCAGCGACCGGCCCCTGCAGTGGTCGACACGGGCCTGTAGCGGACCGCGGCCGTGCCGCCCGGTCAGCCCATTAAATCATGCCGACCGGCCGTTCCGATTCCGGCGCAGTAGCGCGCCACGGCCGTCGCCGGCGCGCCATCGCCGCCGCGCGCCGAGCGAGTCGGCCCGGCCGCCGCTGGGGAGCGATTCCACTAACAGGACTCGGCGACGATAAGAAAATAAGAACGCGAATCGTTTTGACTCTGAGGGCATGAAATAGATTGATTTTATCGACAGTACGTGGGGGCGCATTGGTAATGACCGGAGAGCGCTGGCCGGCACCGGAGAACCACTCTTATTTCGCCTTGAGCTGCTTTATGGGGACAGTTGTAGGATAGCACGCGGCGCGCGGCGGCCGGCCGCTGCCATCGCGCGATGCTCGGTACTCGGCCCTGATCGGCCGGTGGCACATCACGGCCCACGGACTGCGGTCACCGGTCACCGGCCGCGGCGGGCAGACGAGATGTCCGGGACGAGAGTGCTGGCCAGGCGCCGTAAATGCTTGAGGAACCAACAGAATTTGGCCTGTTGGAAAATGGTTACTGAGCTTGAATGAGTAAAGACTTAACCAGTTTCAGCTAAGTGTTACACAAAACAATGCATATAACCCAACTATATTGGGTGAAGGAGAGCGCCAGAAAGGCCCCGCTGTTTGCCATATGAGACAAAAATGGTTGGCTGAGAAGGTGCGAGAGATAGGTAAATGACATTGCGATCAACTCGTGATCACTGATCAAAGGCATATTGTCAATTACATGGGATTAGCCTGTGAATCAAATCATGTCTTAATGGCACCTGTACGAGTATTCATGCAGTCGCTTCAAATGGTACCTAACAATTCTTACTCCTCGAATTCAGTGTCGACTCATCATCTCTTTTATAAAATCGCGCCTCCAGCGAGACATTCGGGTGACGGTGGTGGCAGTGTCTGGGCCGGCGTGTGTCCCCGACCCAACGTCCGTATCTGACCGTCGTTTGTGTGTGACCCGGCGGCAGTGTCTGGGCCGACGACGACGTCCGTCTCCGACCATGGCGTTTGTGTCTGACCCGGCGGCAGTGTCTGAGCCGACGCCCGTCTCTGACCGTAGCGTTTGTGTGTGACCCGGTGGCAGTGTCTGGGCTGGTATCGGGTGGCGTGCCAGAGTGCCGTTGGCAGGCGCGGACCGTCACCAGCGCCGCGCCCCAGCAGGCCGGCCCTCCCGCGCGCCGGCTAACGGACCAGTAAACGCTCTAACGCGCCGGCACCGATTGTATTAAGTGCTTAACTTGTCTTTGGCGCCGTAATCGAGTCTGCGAACGGTGCGGAGGCATGGAAGTCATGCGAAGGCCGGCACGGGGACGGCGATTACACCGAATAAACTGACGGACGGGGGCGGCGCCGGTAGCTGGAAAGGGCCCTCCCCGGCCGGACGGGCCGGCCGTGCCAACAGAGGCCAATGACCGCGATCGCATGGCCAGACGCCCTTGGAGGGGTCCGAGCAGTGCCAGGCATTTTCACAGGCGACGGTTAAAATTCCAGATTTTCCAGGTGCTGCTTTCATGGGCGGGGTGCGAATGACTTTATCAAATATTGCTGTGTAACTTAGAGCTGTCCTCGACGACTCCCCACCCTAAATTAGCATACGGCATAGTTAGTCTGGTCATGATTTATTATCACCGAGCATGGTATTCTGAATGTTGGGCAGACTGTGTTACATGATTATTTAAAAGCTGCTCGAGCTAGCCGGTGCGACTCAACACCTCCACACTTTTATCAACTGTAAAGGCAATCAAACGTCAGCTCTCAATTATCGTGAGGATAGTCAAACGACACAATATAAAAAGCGATGCAATGCAACAGATGAGTTGAAAAAAAAAAACGAATAACGCACCACACAGTGACCCATGTCAACGTGTAGTCGGCAGTCACTTCGCTGTGCATGAAAGCACCCTCGCTATCCTCTAACACTAATTTTGTGCGTCCACTCGGTCATTTGGCCGCGGTGCCTTTCCGGTCCCTCGGTGGTCCCCGTCTGATTGGTTAGCGATCCTCGCTACCCGCGCCGCGCTCCGACGCCATAATAATGACGCGGACGTCTGTTTTACAGCGCTCGGTCGATGCCAGTTTTATCATGTCATTATGCCGGCTGTCTGGTCTGACAGAAGAAAGGGGTCGGCTCTCACGCACGGCAGGCTGCCGCGGCGTCTGCCGCCGCCCGGCGGTCGCCGCCGTGCACTGCCGACCTCACGGTCACTGGGGCCGGACCGGGAACACGGCATCGCGCCGCGCCGGGTCGGATCGACAGAGCTCATGGAACTCGAATAGGGATTGGTGCAGTCCCAGGACGAAGGCAGCTGATGGAAGGCCAGCAATAGATTGGATATTTCAGTTGACAACCAGCCTGGATGTTAATTCAGTCACTCAAGCAGCATCAATGATGCATCGCGCATTATCTCTAGGTGCTTTGTTAATGCCTCGCTGAGTCAGTGAAATCTTTAATATCACATTTCAAGCTACAGCAGAGCCTATCGTCGTGATGCCACTTCTGTCACCTCGCGGCGTTGTGGACCGACCGGTACTGGTTAGAGCAGTGCCGGAGGTGGCTGGTGGCCCGCCGCCGGCCTTTGTCCGCGCCCCGGTGGCCCTCCACCGGCCTGCAGCCCGGCAAAATGAATTGTCCGCGTGAGAGGCGCGCACACGAGTGGACCCCGAGATGGCACGGCTACAAAAACAGTCCGTTCGCTGTATCGTGTCGGCGCTCGCCAGTTCCGGCGCTGTTTCCGGACACGAGAGGCTGCCAGACGGACCCTCGGGCCACATCCGGTCAAAGACGGTCTCTCCCTCCCGACGGGGGAAGGGGGCGGGCGGAGATAGAATGTTTGGGCAGTTAGGACTGGGTGAAGTCAAACTGGTTGTCTAGCTGTCACTCAGTTCCGGGCCTGGCAGCAGAGTTGGGAAACGATAATGCGCAGTCACAGGGTGCTACTCACAGTCGTCACAGCCGATAAAATACGAGACAGTGACAAAAGCGCATTTCATCAAAATATGGATAATATTATTATGGTGATCGTTGGTCTGAAATTGGTCTGAAATTGGTCGAAAAGGATCTCCCCAGGCCTGAGCTAGCCATACCAGCCTTTGTGATAGTTAGACTTACAAAATTACACAATTCGTAAATAAGTGTTCTGAACAATGTGCAATGTATGTGGTTCGTTATCGTAATTCTTAAATCGTTCATGAAGTTGCTAGCTTTTCTGTTACAACTTTCTCATAATTTACATCTCACGTTTGGTTTGCCACTGGCTTACAATAGGACTGGCCTCGTCAATTGCGGGTTTGATAGCTGTATTTAGCAAGAAGCGTTGATAGTGAGACAGTTTATAAATCGCTTCTCCCGCTACCCACCGACTGACGTCTGCCGTTTGTGCTCACGCTGCAGGACTGGCATACAGACCCGAGTTTGTGGGCACGGTGAAAAATGTGACGGTGCAAGAAGGTCGAGAGGCGGTGCTCTCCTGCACAGTGGACAAACTCCGAACATACAAGGTGAGTGCGCTGCGTGACTGCCGGGTGTGTATTGCGGCACACTATAACAACCAGGCGGCCGCCTGGCTTAGTGTGCGTTGCGGCACAGTATAAAAACAGGCAGCCGGCTAGCGTATCGTGTACTGCGGCACAGTATAACAACCAGGCGGCCGGCTGGCGTATCGTGTAATGCGGTGCAGTATAGCAGTCAGGCGGCCGGCTAGTGTATCGTGTATTGTGGCACAGTATAATTACCAGGCGGCCGACTGGTGTATTGCGGAACAGTATACGAGTTAGGCACTCTGCCGGTGTGTGTGTGTGTGATCTGCACTTACCTACAGTACATATATCGGCCAGGTGACTGGCAGGAGGTGTGGTGTAGTGCGGCACGTTACTTTTTTCAGCTATTCATCCGTCCGGCTGTTACGGTATGGGTGCTTTGGTATGGTGTAGTAGACAGGTGCTTAGCTTTTACAGTGTGTAGATATTGCGGTACTGTATATCAGTCAGGCATTTTGTTGGTGAGATGCGCTGCAGCACGGCATAACAGGCGGTTGGCTGTTCGAATGAGAATAATTCGAATGAGCTCCGTCACCTTTTCACCGCCAAGACTTGAAACATATCTCTGCTGGTGTAAAACTGTCCTAAACTATACCTACCCGCGCCCCGTAGGGGGGGGGCCGAAACGGCCCCCCCTGTCCTTTTCGGTCGATATCTCCTAAACGGCTGGAGATATCGCCACCAAACTTTCAGGACCCCTCCGGGCATCAATTTTACACATTGTGACCAAAAATTTTTCCAGAGGCTATGATAGGTTGGCCACAAATGACGTCAGAGTGACGTCATGTTCTGTCATTTTCGACCGAAAAAAGACCTTCGCGAGAAGACCTGTCAGGACTACAGCTTTGAAGATACAGAAAAATGATCAAGACATAAAAGGTGTAAAATTGACAGGGCTACAAAACTGTTATCTCGAATTTTTGAAATTTTTGAGTTTTGACCCCCAAAAATCAAAAAAGCATTTTTTGGATATATTCGCCAAAAAATCCAAAAAGTTTTTTGAATTTCGAAAAAAACCGGAATATATGTGATAGTGCCTACCGTCTTCTATCTACATACCAAATTTCAGATCGATACCTCGTTTTTTGGCCAAGTTATAGCGAAAAAACTGTTCAAAAATGATGACGTCAAATTTTCAAACTCAATTTTTGGCAATTCTAGAACTCGTAGAGCAAAACGAAGACCACCATTAGACTCCCCGTGACGAGCTGCATCGAATCGATACCCATTTTATGCAAAAATATCAACTTTGAAATTTGACCTAATTTGACCTGACCTTGACCTGACCTTCACAAAAACGTGACCTAGGCTGGCCCCAAAGGCTGCCTAACCCACATAATCGCATTTGTCATGTAAAATGGACCATAAAACATGTATCACACGACACATTCATATTGTGACCCCCGGTGACCTGACCTCGCTGTGACCTGACCTGGTATCAGTGACCTCAGATAGCAAGGTATGTGTTTGACGAACAATGTACCATCGATGGTTTTCAATCAATTACCAATTTACTCGCTTTCACAGCACATTTCTTGAATTGCCTGTGAACGGTGAAAATCTGACCTTTGACCTGACCTGTGACGTCATCGGTTTGACCTAGGTCAATGAAATTTGGTCACAAGGTAGTTCCCGGGTGGGGCTATCGAACGCCGTTTGAATTTTGAAAATCGGCCGGTAACTTTCCGAAATCTTAGGGGGGGGGGCCGAAACGCCCCCCCCCCCCCTACGGGTGGTAGGGTCCGCCGGTAGCCCTACGGGGCGCGGGTTATTCAGAACTCTACCCTTGACGGCGTGTCAAATATCACACTATATACAAACAGACACACACAGATAAACAGACTACAGACAGACGTGGAGACGGAGGCGCGTATTCGCTGTCCGCGTGTGTCTCCTGAAACTCCAAACATTTACTGAAACCCTATCAGCTCTACAGCGGAAAACACAACATGGCGAAGTATTACACAGTAAGCAGTGAAGGTGATGAGCATCTAGAGTACATTGTTGTCATTTCATTTTTTTCTTTCTTTTTTGAAGTAAATATATAAAGCTTCGATAGATATAATATAATACTTCTGTGATATACCTATTGAATATCTAGGTCTCCTGTAAAATCCCAAACATTTCCTTAAATATTATTAATGCCAATCAGTTGCAAGAGCGCAATATCTTGCGACACATGAGATTTAAAGGCTATACCTAACTGATAGCACACTTCCTGCAAGTATAGTTGCATGAAAGCAATGTGATACAGGTAGATATCAGTTCCCCGTCATTTGGGTGGGCCATCCATCATGCCCCGACCTTCATGGGTCATAGGGATCAGACTGCTCTTCCGAGTACTGTTCAGTTACGTGTGGGAGGATGTGCTGTGTGGAGCTCGCACTAGATGATTAAAAATAGCGCGAAGCTTAGTCTAATCTAACATTTTTTCTGCTAGCATATAAGAAAACAATAAATGCAATTGAATGCAAATTATCCCAGCAATTTGCGAGCAATTTTTCGCCAAACATTTGAGTAGCTCATCGGTTCTATCAAGCACCACATCCCACAACTCGCTACCGGGCAGCTTTATTCGCTCGCTCTCTCATCCCAGGCATCTCGAGTGAATATTCGTCCTGTCGGCGGCGGCCGCGATGGGCCACCTATCAGCGTCGGCTGCCTGTGGCTGGCGTCCATAACCGGCCAGCGACGCGTCCGTGACGAGAGCGCCAGTATCGTCGCCGTTTGTCGTCACACGGCGTCCCCGCCGGGCTCACTCTGACCTCCTTATCTGCCTATGCCTCGCCGCGGCCGCGTGAAACATTAATCTGGCGTACGCCCCAGGGCAGACTAAATCATGAAAATTGGGTTTACTTAGGAGTTATTTAGAGATTAGAGCCGCACACCGCCCTCGTATCGGGTCCCGCAGGTGCAGTAAACTAATTGAGCCGTGTAAAATGTGAGTGCTCTGGTTGAGCTGCCGGATGTCAGAAATGATGGACACGTCGGCTGCCCGCCGGCGCCGCGCCGTGGAAAAACGCTCGGAGGAGACTGTTGCCCAGCCAGAAAAAGATTGGGAGGTGCGAGAGATCGCGGCGCAGCTACCGGTGCGGTCATCCACTGGCGGATGGCACGGTCGATGTGCATGCGTTTCAAGGCGAACTGTTTTCGAGTAGCCTCGAGATAAACAGTATGGTGTTTTTAGTGGGAATTTTAGGCAAGACATTGGGCAGTCTGCGTTCACCATTCACCACCCGACCAAACTTGATCGGTTGATTTGTTTCTCCAGCTGAAAGTGAAGTGGCAAAGTGTTCGACGATTTCTCACTTGGTTTCTTACTTACTCCTTGCTTTCCGTCTCCTTGCTTACTTCTTGCCTCCAGTACTCCGATGAGTACTGAGAAGCGAACAGTAGTACCGATCTTAGCAGTTTTAAACCAGAGACTTAGCAAAATGAACACTCGGAGGTCAACGCAATCAATACCTAGAGAATGTCGAAGGCAGAAATCAGACATAGAAAGCACTTGAGTCGCCCAAAACATGGCATTCTTGCTTGGGTGCTCAGTTATGTAACAGCATAGGTAGTTGCATGCATCCTAGAAACTGGCTCGCCCATAGGTCGATAGATTCACATTTAGCAGGCGAGCTAGATGCACGGTGGCGCATGCTCCTCCGCTGCCCGTGGCGTGCCCCCTCGGTCGGCCGAAGGCGCCACTGGGCTCCACTGTCCATGGCGTGTCCCTCGGTCGGCCAAAGGCGCCACTGTGCGCCTCCTCTGTCACTAATGGATTCCGGAAGTGTGCTGGCCGTCACGCTCTCAGAGAGCGTGGGAACGCTGTCGGCGCCGGCAGATTCGGCCGCCGCCGCTGATTGATTATTGTTAAACAATACTCGGTCATAACGTGTATGGTCGCGGGAGACGGCGCCGCCCTCCGCGGGGACCAGGCGGTGTCACCGCGGTGTCAGGGGGAGGGGTGGAGCGAGGGAGGGGTGGGAGGTAGAAGAAACTCTGCACAGTCCCCCACGTGGTGGGTGCGGTCCTCAGGCTTTTGTGCTTAACCACAATAGCTATAAGCTATTTTGTTCACGCATTCAACATAAGCCCTATTACACCCGTCTACAGAACTCTATGAGGTGACTGTAGAGTGTAGAAGCTAAAATTGCATCATTGAGAATAGAACCATTAAGTTCAGAGTTCTCCATTCACATTTCCACTCGATAAAAGAGAGCGAAACGGCGCCAGCACGATTTCATGAATAGCCGGATTTCATTAGTCATTCACTCGGCGAAACAGTCTCACTCTCAGAGGCTGGCTCAAACACAACACACGTGATTGTTTGCGTTTCCTGATCAAAGACTCTGAAAATGAACACACCCCTACAACAATTTACAGCCTCTGCGATACTGAAATACCTTCAAATACGTTGTAAAACTTCAAACGTGCCTAAACTGATTCCAAGTAAAACCATCAAATTAGCGAGTTTGTTCATGACAACTATCAAAGACCGATAGACCGCCTCTGTCGTTGCACTTTACGACTCTCCTTGTTCACGGCAGCAGCTGCAGCCGAATCTTCCCCGAGCTCCATCAGTTTTGTTTAACACCAGTTCAGCTGCAACGTCTAAAGAGCCACTCAATCACTGGAATATTGCCAGTCTTCGAAAGTGCACATCACAGTGGTGTTGCGTGAGGCCAGACATCACAGTGACGCCAAAGTGACGTCGCCATGCAGGCTGAGGCGGCGGAGAAGAGGCGCTCGAGTGACACGTGCGCCGGCCGGCCGGTGGTGCGGTTCCGCTGCAGCTTCGGCCACGTAATGATGGACGTGTTCCGGTCTCGCGGCTGGAAGGAGGTCGGCCCCGAGGACCAGGACTGGGACGTCAACTGGTGTGACGTCAGTCAGTTGAAGGAGCAGTACGACCACACCTTCCTGCAGGACCACCAGCGCATCTCGCACTTCCGCAACCACTACGAGCTCAGCAGGAAGAACATGCTGATGAAGAACCTGCGCCGGCTGAAGCGGCACATGGAGAAGAGCGGCAGTCGCGAGGAGGCGGAGCGCTGCGTCATCTGTCCGACCTCGTTTGAGCTGCCCAGCGAGTACCACATGTTTGTGGAGGAGTTTCGGCACAGTCCGCGCGCCATCTGGATCATGAAGCCGGCGGGCAAGAGCCAGGGCCGCGGCATCTTCCTCACGCAGCGACTGAAGGATGTCACCGAGTGGAAGATCAAGGACAAACAGTTCACGCCCAGCTTCCTGGCTGGCGACAAAGACGCTGCTCTGGGCCCCGAGACGTACGTCGTACAGCGCTACATCGCCAACCCCTACCTGATCGGCGGCCGCAAGTTCGACCTGCGCCTGTACGCTCTGGTCTCTTCCTTCACGCCGCTCAAGGTGTGGCTGTACCGCGAGGGGTTCGCCAGGTTCAGCTCCGCCGAGTTCACCACGTCCCAGATCGAGGACAACTGCATCCACCTGACCAACGTGGCCATCCAGAAGCACGCGCTCGACTACGACCCGGAGCGCGGCAGCAAGTGGAGCATGCGCCGGCTGCGGCGATTCCTGCGCGCGCGACACGGTGACGCGGTGGTCGACACGCTGATCGCCAATATCAACAACGTGTTCATCAAGGCGCTGCAGAGCGTCCAGAAGATCATGATCAACGACAAACACTGCTTTGAGCTGTACGGCTTCGACATCCTGATTGACAGCGACCTGCGCCCGTGGTTGATCGAGGTCAACTCCAGTCCCTCGCTGGCCACCACCGGCCAGGAGGACTACCGGCTCAAGTTCGCGCTGCTCGACGACACGCTGCACGTGGTGGATGTGGAAGGCCGGCTGACGGGCCGCGAGCTGCGAGTCGGCGGCTACGACCTGCTCTGGAACGACGGGCCCGTGCTGCCGGCGTGCAGCGCTCGCAGCTGCCACAGCTCCGGTGGCGGCGAGCAGCGCTCCGGCTTCCTGGGATGCCACAACGACCGAGAGCAGCAGCTGATGGAGGTGCTGCAGAGCAGGGGCGGCAAGGGGCGCGGCCGCACCGCGCGGCCATCCACCTCCGTCCAGCACATCTGTCAGTGAGGGACAGTGGCGAACGGTACTCGTACATCTATCAGCGAGCGCAAACCACTTCAGATGTGACATCAGTACGACCTACTGCGCAGCACATCTGCCATGCGTCAGCGTTCTCAGTCTTGGCGCATCTGTTACTACAGGGTGTTTCACAATAAATGTTACTTTTGAATAGCTTAAATGAAGATCTTACTTGTTCGTAAGCGCGTAAATTTTATATGCATTTTGCTGCAAATTTGTAGCGGTTTTTAGTCCTTACATTTTTTTTACAAACCGTCAACGGTTCCATCTGTATGGACGTGCAATGCCAACACCGTCAAAACGGGTCAATTCGCCGTGTACAGATGATGAGGCGGTATGGGTGCGTCATGCATTACGGCGCTTTGCGGAGTCTGACCGCAGTGCGACGGAGTTTCAGTAGCCATTTAAAAGGAGGAAGGATATTCCGTCAAAAAATGTCTTTCAAACGGGTAGTAGAAAGGTTCCAGAAGACACGAGACCAGCCCCGACTCCTGGCCGGACGGCGATCCCAGAGAATCTGGTTGAAAAAGTCAGACGGAAGGGTGGCATAGTGGAGAACCCGTGAAGGGTGCTGAACTGAAAGTTATATGTTCATCAGTCCTACTGTTCTGCTGTCTCATGTGGTAATACTCATGAGCCGTATTGTAATACGTCACTGAAACATCGTCGTTTGAAAAGCAACATTCATTGTGAAGGACCCTGAAGCTTAACAGCGAATTGACCCTTTTTGATGGCGTGGATATTGCACGTACATAAAGAATGCAGTTGATGATTCGTCATAGTTTTTGTAAGGATAAGAAACCCGAAAGAATTTGCAACAAAATGAATATGGAATTTATGGGCATACGAATAACTGAGGTCATTTTAAAAGCTTATCAAAAGTAACGTTTATTGTGAAACACCCTGTAGATAAACACACCCTGCGTCAGTAATTGACCAGACATCGCACATCAAGACAACACATTATTGTGGCCGTTTGCTCTGGCACCCAGCTGCCGCTGATGTTTCTGCCGGTAGAACTTGTGTTTTGCACACGTGAAAAGTGATTGTACAACATTGTTGCTATCTAATCGCTAACAAACTCTTAATTTGCATCTGCGTTGAAGTTGATAATTGGCGATCGACACCAATGCCGCAAGGACAATTTCTTTTAGAGGGTGGTATAGAGACAACCATAGACGACTTGTGCGCTAGGTCGTCTATAAAAAAGCACTGTTTTATCTATATCACTTGCAGATGCAATGATTTGTCGACTCAGTCTGTTAGCTTCTTTTCAGATAGCGATTAACACTGTCCGATCATCGACATGCTACTTCCTTTGTGATGACTTGGCGCCTATTCTGCATGATATTATCAGCGACAATCATGTTGTCACCAGAAGTCACCCTGATACAGAAGCTATGACAGTATCTGCCGCTACCGTTCGCTCCTGGAACATTGACAAAGCCGTACCTTTGTTGTGACCTGCACCAGCACGGCATCCGACATTTGTCGACGCCGAACGAAACGATAGAAGGTGGCGAACTCATTTGCTGCAGACCTGAGCTTCATGATTCTAACGTTATGGCCTAATCTCACGCAGCGTAATTGGAAGGTGGTCTTCGTAAATTTGACACATAAATCAAGCGCTGCACAAGTGAAATGTTTCTCTCATTCTCTTTGTGCTACACCCACGTCATTTTCTGTGGTGCCTCATGCACGGGTTGCTATGTCAATTGATTTTCAAAGGTTTGGGCGACTTGGCCACAGCTAATGGCAGAAAACACAGATTCCTTGAGCATGGAAACAAAAAAAAAATAGATAATCCTTCTTTTGCCGTTTCAGCTGGCTTCATTAAAGCTATTCCTATCGCATAAGAGACATTAAAAGAATGAACATCCCACAATTTTATAAAGATGTTTTAATCCTATATCAGGACTACAAATGCAAGGAGGTAGAAAGCGTCAAGTCGATACAGATGGAAATGATATGGTACAACCGAAATATTCAAGTGCACAGAAAGACAATATTTATTCCATGCTTATACAGGCACGGAATTAAGTTTGTTGGTGACATAACAAGAGAAAATGGCTCCTTTATGAGCCTGCAAAATTTGAAAGAAAAACTGCCTTCTCTGCGATTAGACTTCCTAACATATGAAACGATACTGCGAGCAATTCCAAATCACTGGAAAACGATCCTTACAAATACAGCGGTCAGAACCTTGTCCCCTGAAGAAAGAAACGAAGATCCCATCATTCGTGTGAACGATCGCGAAATACGCATAACCGAAGTACGCCCCCGTCATTTATACAGATACGGAATGCCTTGTAAAAAGCCAAAGGCAGTTAAAAGGTGGGAGGAAAGAGGATATGACAGTATGGATTGGGAAAAGTTGTTCAAAATTCCGTATCAATGTACCAAATCGACTCAGTTGCAGTCTTTCCAATATAGAGTATTGAACAGATATATTCCGACGAGAAGATATTTATGCATTAGACAATTGATCGACAGCCCTTTATGTCAAGAATGTGGCTCGCAAGATGATTTGGAGCACTTCTTTTACGAATGTTTCACTGTTCACCATATCTGGGATAAAGTTTTTGAGGGTCTAGGTATGTCTGAACACAATAACGTAAAACATGTGCTTTTTGGAATAGAAGAGGGCCGTAATGCAGTAAATCTTATAATCTTGCTTATCAAACAATACATCGCTAATTGTAAGCTACGGCACAATCAGATAAAACCATCCTACGAAGGGGCTCGAGCCACGGTTGTTCATCAAGTGAGGGTAGAAAAACATGCAGCATTTGTCAGTGACACCCTTAAAGCCTTTATTGAAAAGTGGCAAAACATATTCTTGTGCAGGGACATACATAGCATGGTGATGAATCGGTAAATAAGGATTACGATGCGTTTCAATCGGCACAGACGATCGCACAGTGCATCCTTTTGTAGTATGCATTGCTTAGTATGCTCCTCGCGCATCATGTGTATCTTGTATCTTGTACTATGCATGTGAGTTGAGTGAGCTGTTGCTGATAAAATAAGCAGCATATGCGCACTGCCCGCCCCTAACCCAACCCGGCTAACCGGAGGCCGGCACTATTAAGGGTCGGCCGGCCGGCCGGGCGCGCGGCTCGCCAACCTATCAGGGTGACGGGTCGCGGGCCCGGCCGGCGGCCTGGGGCATCGCCCCAGCGAGGACGGGCATGTGTGTCAATCGCGGGGCGATGCGGGGCGGGGCAGGAAGGCATAGGTGTATTAAACGCAAATGGAAAGTGAAACAATAAGGTGTAAGTGTGCAAATATCGTGTGATTGTGAAAATATATGAACAAGTTGAAAAAAAAAGCTATTCCTATCGCCAAGTCGCATTAGTTCAGTTACCCTTTATTTCACCCTTACGTGAAGCAGTGAGCGCGGTTCCCACTCAACCCGGTCGCGGCGGTGAGAGGCGTTTTCCTCTCCCCCCTCCTCACCCGAGCCCGATCACCGCCTCCGCCGCTCGGCGGGCGAGTGATCATTAAATTCCAACCATTTGCCACTTAGTCACAGCGGCGGACCTAAATCAGTCCAGGAGGAGGCCCGAGTGGCACCGAGCCGACGGCAGGCGCGCCTCTTCTGCTAGAGTTAGGGGCGGCGCCGGCCGGCCCTCGACGGCGCCCGACCGCACGCGGCACCACGAGCACGTGCCCCGCCGCTGCTCAGAGCACCGCCGCCGCCGCCTGCGGCAAGGAAAGATTTTATTGTTGAAGGTTAAAAAAAGGTGGAACGTGTCAAAAGATCATTTGTGAATTTCGCCAGTGAATATCTTGGAAAAAATATCCAGTCATGCATCATTCCATTCAAATGTCATATTTTGTGCCGATCGATTCAACGATGACAGCGGCGGTTTGCCAACTATACCAAGCGAGTCTCTTTTTTTCGACGAAAAGTCGTTTTCGGGGACTGATGGATTCTGATGCGTTCGGATGTAATAACCCGTCTGAGTCGTCACGTAGCACGTGCATGTGACACGAGACATGCTACGCGGCGCACGATACCTCCACGTGGTGGTTGGCGTGGTAGCAGCGAGCCAGTGGAAAGAAGTTCAGTCGCCCAAAGCTCACAAAAGTGATGCCAATTTTCCGATGACAGAAAAACACTCCAAAAAATAATTTATTATAAGGATAGAAAACCAGGGCGTATTTTAACATGTTAACTGGGTCGGCAATTGCCGACCCAGTCACGGAGAATGCCGACCCAGTGACAGCCGTTTGCCGACCCAGTTGCCGCCCCCTCTAGGATGCAGCACGCATATGCAGGCTAGGTGCCGTCATTCATAGTGAGGCTGCTGCCCTCCGAAATGATAATGCCGCCTCTTAAAGTGAAGCAGCCGTCTATAGAAAGTGATGATCCCGCAACTCAATGTGACAGTGCCGCCCCTAAATCTGTTAGTAGTCCCACTCAATGTACCTAATGGTGCCGCCCTTCTAAGAATCTAAGCATCTGTGGAGCCCCGCAATGTGATGATACCGCCCCTCAAGAAGATGATGCCGCCTCTTTCAGTATCGGTGGCGCCCCTCAATAAGATGGTGCCGCCCTCAAAGTGCCGGTGGCGCCCCTGAATGTGATGGTGCTGCCCGCCAACGAGTCGGTGGCGCCCCTCAAAATGATGCTGCCGCCCCTTAAAGCGTTGGCGCCGCCCCTTATAGTGTCAGTGACGCCTTTCGAAGTGTCGGAGGAACCCACCAATATAATGGTGCCGCCCCTCTAGGTATCCACATAGCCCCTCATTGTGATGGAGCCGCCCCTCAAGCAGACGATGCCGCCCCTCAAGAAGATGATGCCGCCCCTGAATGTGATGGTGCTGCCCGCCAACGAGTCGGTGGCGCGCCTCAAAATGATGCTGCCGCCCCTTAAAGTGTTAGTGCCGCCTCTCATAGTGCCAGTGACGCTCTTCGGAGTGTCAGAGGAACCCACCAATATAATGGTGCCGCCCCTCTAGGTATCCACATCGCCCCTCATTGTGATGGAGCTGCCCCTCAAGCAGATGATGCCGCCCCTCAAGAAGATGATGCCGCCCCTTTCAGCATCGGTGGCGCCCCTCAATGTGATGGTGCCTCCCTCAAAGTGCCAGTGACGACCCTAAATGTGATGGTGCCTCCCGTCAACGAGTCGGTGGCGGCCTTCAAAATGATGCTGCCGCCCCTAAAAGTGCTGGTGCCGCCCCTTACAGTGCCAGTGGCGCCCTTCAAAGTTTTGGAGGAACTCATCAATACAATGTTGCCGCCCTCTAACTTTCTGTAGCGTCCCTCCATATACATAATGGTGCCGCTTCTCAAACCATCCGTGGCGCCCCTCAAAGTGATGGTGCCGCCCCTTACAGTGTCGGTGGTGTCTCCTCAAAAGTCAAGGTGCCGCCTCTCAAAGAAATGCTGGTGTCCCTCGAAGTGTCGGAGGCGCTCCTCAATGTCATGTTGCCGCCCCTCAAACCTTCCGTAACGCCCCTCAACGTCATGGTGCCCCCCCCCCCCCAATGTGCTCACGGCGCCCTTAAATGTCATAGAAGCGCCGGTCAAAGTGATGACTGTGCTCCTGGCAGTGTCGGTGGCGCGGGCCCCTTATAGCGTCGGTGGCGCACCGAACAGTATCGGTGGTGCCCCTCAAAGTGATGATGTCACCCTCAAACAAACGGTGACGCCCTTCGAAGTATCGGAGTCCCTAAATATCATACCTATTGCCACCCATTAACGATCTGTAGCGCCCCTCCATATGATGGAGCCGCCCCTTAAAGTATCCGCGGCGGTCCTTAAAGTTACAGTGCCGCCCCTTACAATGGGGTGGGTGGCGTCCTCAAAATAAAAGTGATGTTGCCCCCCCCCCCCCCAAGTAATGTTGCGTCTCTTCTAAGTATCGGAGGCGCTCCTCATTGTCATTTTGCCCTACATTACTGCGCACATGGCGCCCTTCAATGTAATGGTGCCACCCCAAGGCTCAAAGAGATAACTGCGCTTCTCACAGTGTCGGTGGTGCCCCTCAAAGTGGTTTAAGTGCCCTAAAAAGTTGGTGGCGCGCCTCAAAATGATGCTGTCGTCCCTTAGCATATCTGCAGCGCCTCCAAAATGATAGTGCCTTCCCTTAACCGGCGCCGGGCTGAGGTTTGAACCCCCCTCCCGACCCCTATAACTTGGCTACTAGGCCACGTAGCAACACGCGGTAAGCGGCATTCGAAAGAGTGTCAAAAACTACTTGGGTCAGTTGGTTTACCGTACTTTGGTTAGGTCAAGTCAAATGTCAAATATCAGGTGACCAGAGGTCATCAAAGGTGAAATGTGGGTGAAATGTTGTCTGTTTCAACATTTATTGACAAACTGGCGCATAACTCGGGGAAGAATAGAACTACAGCACCGCGAAAAAAAGCGCATTCGATTGCTCTTCAACGTTCCTATAAAGTCCTCAGACTTGACCTAACATCAACGGCTTAACCTCCAGAGCACAACTAGTTTAACCCGTGCCGGGCTGGGGAGGGTTGGAGTGGACAGTGGACCCCCTCCGCCCCTCTACTGAGCTGTTTTAACCCTATTAGTGGCAGGCTCCTGGCTACCCCTATTAGTGGCAGGGGGGAGGCTGTTTACGACCCCCCTTGATATCTCGAGATCTAACGGGCCGATTTTCAAAATTCAAACGGCATTCGATTTCGCTCAACGTGATCTACATTTCTAAAAAATGAAAATTAAAAAATGTCAATAGGGGGGGGGGGGTAGAGGAGGGTAAAAACGGGCAAATTGCAGATACATTTTAGACTGTTTATCACGGCCAGGTTTCTGAACCAATCTTAACGCAACTTTTGCCGATCGATAGAGAATGAACCAGGAATTCACATGGATCCTAAAAATATGCATTTTCAAAAATCATAGGCGGATACAGATCATTGAGATTGGGGGTACTCAAAAAGTATAGTAAATAAGGTTTTTGTTGGTACTGTTTCTGAAAAGGGTGGTAACGGTCTTGTTATGTTACAATTTTCTTATGAGAGAACGACTACAATTGTATTGGTCATGCATAGGCGGTGTCAGGGCACCTATGTTGGGAGGTAAAACATAAATTAAATTAAAGGATTAAAACATAATCCTTTTTGGACGCCTGGATCCGCCTATTATAGCAAAAACGTGTCAAAAGAGGATGCACAATAACTGTATATGTTATCACATGATACCTTTCATTCACTGTTCGTAAAACTGGTGCAGCATCGTGATCTTCGCCCAAATGACTCGCTTCACGAATAGGACCCCCCAATTCCCAGTGCTCTGGAGCCGCCCCTGGTAAAGTTATGAACTTGAAATTTTCAGGGAATGTGCCCAATTTAGTTTTAGGAAAAGTCAGAAAATTTCAGCATCGTAGCTTCAGCGGTTTCGGAGATATTCCCGAAAAAGCTGAGGGGTGGATAAAAACAACCCCCCTGCCACTAATAGGGTTAATGAAGAACCTTTTTACTGTAATAATTATTGACTCACGAAAGTTATGACATTGTTTTTTCAGTACTGTGCTCCTCTCGTCAAGATGCGTCGAATGAACTATAATTTGACATTCAAATGTCATTTGGGAAATTTGAGCTCAGGTCCAGGTCATGACCTGACTGGTAAAGGTCACGTTGCATATCAGTCGATTTGTATCGTCAAACTGAAATCATCTAAGGTGTTTTCATCGCTCAGGCATGTCGCATGTCTCTATCAGAAGTTATTGAAAAAACTGCTGGAGGCCTTCCATGACCTGACATGAACTCAAGGACATAACGAGGGGTCGTGGGTGGCAATTTTCCGATTAAGTGTTTCATTTTTAATTGTTTTATGATGTTTAAATTCGTTAACTTTGACATTTGTCTACCTATAAAAAGAGGCATGCATGCCCTGATTTTCTCCCATTTCCTTATACCTAATGGAAGGGTCGCAAAATTGTCCTTACCTTCGGTCAAAGACATAGCAATTTCGAGACTTACATTTTATATATATACAGTTACACACTGTTTGTCTTATCAATCGCTTAAGTTATAAAGGGATCGTTCAGTCGGTGTATCTATGGTGAGCATTTCCCTGTTCCGTAGCTCAGTTGGTAGAGCACCGGACTCCCCGCATTGTCTTCGCTTGCGTTTTGTCCGCCGGCCGATCCGGAGAGAAAGTTACCGAGTGAAGATCATTTAAATTTCAAAAACTCAATGAAAATGTCACTGGGGTCACGAAAATATTTGAGTAGGTAGGTATACCATTCATTAATTTGGGGGGGGGGATGAACGTATCGTTACAAATCAATACGCTGTTCATTACGCGAGTAACTAATGAATAAAAAATGTATGACTTCATCCTTACTCCACCCGCTCTCCCTCTCCATAAAAAGAGAGTTAATTGTGTTGCATTTTATTAAGATGCAGAAAAATAGAGGCGTCAAAGGATATGGCCGAATATCAGCGACCCTTGCCGTGTAAGCAATGGGGCTTGCAATGGGGTATGACAAGTGGGGGTAATGGCCCCGTCCAGCGCCCATAAAGTGGGCACCACTCGTGCGACCTGCCGACCACTGTTCTAGAGCCATAAAACACCGTGAATGTTTTAAGCTTGACGATACGGATCGACTGGTATGCAACATGTTTTATTTATGGTGAGGTCATGAACTTGACCTCAGGTAAAATTTTTAAATTATTTTTTGTAAAGTCAAATTATAGTTCATTTGTCGCATTATGACACGAGAAATACTAGTTATATCCCGGAAAAATAGACGTAATACCGCTGAGCTTAGGTAGGTTGAATCTGAAATCATTACTTAGAAAGAGTTATAAAAGAACCGTCGAACGTGTCTTTTTTGTCATTAAATATCAGTAGGTATGGCGCCCCCCTCAGATGCCAAGTGCCGCCCCTATGAGTGCAAAATGCCGCCCCTAAATGTGATTGCCGACCCAGTGAAAATCCCTTAAAATACGCCCTGTAGAAAACATACCCATACCTACCATGCCCATTCCAACCAATTCGTCGCTAGCTTTGCTTTGCCTTAGAGCTTTGACGAATTAAACGCTAGGTAGGTAACAAAGTATGCGAAAATGAGGTTAGGGCTACCAGTTGTAAATCAAATCTTTTGAACTTTATACCATGAAAACTTATACCATATCTTTGTTTGCATTTATTTTGTGCCTATGTTCTGTTATCTATGTGCATACCCAGTACCCACCTACTTATAAATGATAAGGCATTGCACGTTCCGCGATATGCCTTAGCGCATTATACTTATAATATTACAGTCATGTTCTAAAACGATTGTCATCCTCTCAGTCCTCAAGCACCCTTTACGATCTCAACAAAGACTTTCCCGCGAAGCTGAGTTGTTCTGGCATTCGCAGGCCCTGCTGGCTGCCACGTAGCCGCTCCACCATTCCTACCGTCCAAATCCTCTCGTCAACGGGGCTCGCTCCTCCCCCGTGCACGTAAATATAAATTGACTGTGCCTTATCAGCGTGCCGGCAATAATCGGCCTGATCCTGGTGGCGGCATAAAGTGGCGACAGTTGCGGCGCCGATAGCGGCTCGGCCGAGTCGTTTCCGACGGCCTCCGGCTCCGAGACGATAGTACCGGTCGGCTCTCCACCGCGGTGGCTAGGCCGGGCGCGGTGCGGGGCCGGGCTGGGCTGCGACTGTTAGTGCCGACCAACAGTCAGAGTAGATCCTTTTACCGGTGAATGAGAAACTGATGCAAGCATACAAGGCATCGATTATGCATTGTATGCACACATGTTTCCGTTTCCGATAATCACGACTTATTAGTGGGTGGATTTCATATGTTAAGCGTTAACGAACCGCAAAGCTTCGTGCGCACGTTCTGCCGCCTCGAACGACTAACATAGCCGAAGAGGAGTCGTCCTTCATGTCGACTTCATCTGACCGACAACATGATTTCCAATGACCAATCACCATACTACCATCAAGCGTAGGTGGCAAACGTCGAATGGGCTCGAAAGGCTCGAGCCTGGACATTGCTGTACGTAGGGCTCAGCATGGTTCGATAAACGATTGGTAGCGGCAACATTTTTCAACTGTGCTGCTGCGTTGCCGGAGAGGTTTCTATATAGATCTCTCCTGGAATAAATACCAAATGACCATTCATGTTCATTGCTCATACCGTCATGTTTGTCGTTTGCCTTCATGTGACCTGTGGCAGACCGTCATATGCGGCCTGGACACTATTTCCACTCTACTTCTCGCCGTCAGGTGGCCTGGGTGCGTGTGGACACGCAGACGATTCTCACCATCCACACGACGGTGATCACCCGCAACCCGCGCGTGACGCTCGAGCACAACGGCCACACCAACTGGCACCTGCACATCAGCGATGTCAACGAGCAGGACCGCGGCGCATACATGTGCCAGATCAACACCGACCCCATGATCTCGCAGGCCGGCTTCCTGCAGGTGGTCGGTGAGTCCAGTTAGCACTGCACGTGGTCGGTGAGTTAACACGCGCACTGCAGGGGGGGTTGTTTTCAACCCCCCCTGTGGTTTTTCGCAAATTGCGAGAAAACGGCGGCGCGTAGCGCCGCCAAATTTTGCATACCTGTTCTCACAACTTTTGCACACCTTGAGTAAAAATTTTGACCCCAGGTGACCTATGGTCAGGTCACCAGGTCAGGTCAAGTGACCCTACCTCGAAACGTAAATTTCGAAGTTTGCAATCCCACCAAGCCCACAGTTGTTGAGATATGATCTTGAAACCCACAGGAACTAGTAAAGTCATCACGAGCTACAACTTGTATATCTCGGAATTTTTATATCGATGACCTAAGGTCAGGTCATTTTTGCGACCGGCCCATTATAAGTCAATGGGAGAAATTTCAACTTACTCTGAATGCCATCCTATGACTTCAATACGCTCAGGATCATAGTATTACAGGTCCCTGTTGGTGATTTCACCGAAACATATCACTTATGACCTTTGGAAGGTGATCTCCAGGTCATCTTAGGTCACCTGAGGTCACCAGCGGTTTTTCTTCAATAACTTGAGATTGAGTAGAGATAGAGACTCCGTTCGACGTTTATCGTGTTTTTCTCGTCAATGCGGATCGAATGATATGCAACATGACCTATTTCGGTCAGGTCATGACCTTGACCTGAGGTCAAATTTTCAACTTGACCTTTCGAGGTCATATTATATATCATTCGATGCGCCTTGACGAGCTAAGAACGATGGCGTTCGAATTGATCCTCTGTCTTGTGTGCAAGACAAGTTATTCAAGAAAAACTACCGCGAAATTCCTGTTGTGAAAATCGTAACATTTTGTCTTCGGTGACCTCTGGTGACCTCGTTTTTGACCTGACCCAAAAATGATCTTAGTATTTCTTGTCGATCTCATCTTAACCTATCCAACGCCGTTTACCGCTTGTCGCTACGTTGCGCCGTTTTCGAGATCTCAGGGGGGGTTGTTTTCAACCCCCCCCCCCCCCCCCTGCAGTTCGTGTTCGGCTCAGACCCGCTGCAGTGCGCGTGTTAAAGGTAGTGTGCCACCTTTGAAAGATTTCCCATTTTATTTTTCCTAGGATAAGAAGCTTCTGTTTTTACCTAATATCGCAAAAAAAATCAAAAAGGGCCTGGAATAGTGCCTTTTTCGCCTAAAAGTTTTTCGGTTTTTAGATATGTATAACAACTGTAGTGGGCTCACCTGCAAACAGGCGTCGGGCAACAATCGCGAATGCGGCGCACTTGTGACAGTAAGCAAAGGTCATTATAGTGTTACGACCATACGACGTACGGGAATGAGTTATCAGCTGTCTAATCGTAGACAACACAATGTCGAGCCTTAAACTGTTAGCCCGTATTGGTATTATTTCTTTTATTTGGCTGTCGAACATTATTTATGGTTTGAAATATGATTTTATGTAAAATAATTGATATGACAAAGCCGTCTTATAAGTTATGACCCCATTTCACCACACGCAAGTGGCAGAAATGACAATGATCAGCTGACGCATTTTTCTTGGCCGAAGTCAGAGCGCGCGGCCCGACGCACCACGCGTATTTGGAAATTCCGACCTCGACGAGCATCAGAAGCCACCTAACAGGCGTGTTCGAAACCGCAGGAGATGATGCTGAACGGGTTTATCGAAACTTGATTGGATGAGCATATCGGTAATAGCGATTTCAGTGTGTGCATTTATTGTTCATAGTGGTGTGAAATGTGGTTGGGGTACGACCGACAACCCGTCGGGGCGAATTTCGCACTGGGGTACTCAAAATTTGAAGAATTTAAGACGTTTCCATGAGTTTTGAAGGTATGGATAAGTTCTAAAAATCCGGTTCTCCTTATCTGGGCCATTAACTCCATACGGTCCAAGAAAGCTGGCACACTACCTTTAACCCTCGCCCATGTAGGGGGGGGGGTTGGTGCAACCCCCCCCCCCCGAGGTTTTTCGGAAATAGTGCAAAAACGGGCGGCGCTGCAAACCTTGCGCATCTTTTGATTAAAAAAAAAAATTGACAGGGTCATGTCAGGTCACGGAGTTATGACGTCACAAAGGGAACAGCCTCCGGCCGGATTTTCACAAAATGAGTGCCAACGCCCGAGGTTTCCTGCCGGTGGTACGAACATCGGTTGATGGATCGTGATGAAACTTCCCATGCATGTTGGGGCAAGTATTGGCTATCATATGGTATAAGAAACTTGACCGGGTCAGGTCAGGTCACGGAGCTATGACGTCACAAGAGGAACAGCGTCCGGTACTATTTTTGAAAAGCGCCCGAACCACTATTTTGCTAATTCTTGTCACCTCGATGGGAATATGCAGCAATATTAGCTTCTATAGGGAGCAAATGGACCTCCCAAATCCAAAAATAAAATCAGATTTCAAAAATTTAAATTTTGATTTTTCGAATTTCTGCCGCCGACTGTGACCTTGCCGACTTCCGGCGCTCCCAACGCGCCATTTTTTAGAGCTAGGGAAACGAAATACATACCAAACGATAGAGAATTGATCAAGGAACACGATAGTGAAGGTTTCAAGTCGATATCTCCCACCGTTTTGCCGCAATCGCCGCGGAAAGTTGAAAAAGTCTATTTTTCCGAAAAAAAATTGACCTTTGACCGGTCAAAAGTAGGTCAAATGTTGACCTAGGACCAAAAATATACCACCAATCGCGAGATCTCGGCGAGAGCAATCCGTTGGTCTTTTACGCTAAGCTCTACGACGCTCCGTTTTCAAACGCCAAGGGGGGGTCGCACCAACCCCCCCCCCCCCCCTGCATGGGCGAAGGTGGCAGATCGCCGTTTACGGGCGAGGGTTAAGTTAGCACTGCACGTAGTCGGTTAGTCCAGTAGCACTGCAGGTGGCGGCGCCACTGCAGGTGGTTGGTGAGTTCCGCGGCTCATGAGTTCGTAGAACTCTTGGCGGCACCACTTCTGAGCGGGGTAAAGCGACATGCGCTATAAAAGATGATCATCTCGTCTTTCACTATCAACTAAACTAATTATTTCTTGACGAGCTTTCGGGTCCTACGTCACGGAGATCATTCACTGTGTTTTTACTGTCTCTCCTGGCCAGACCTTCTCTCTATCTTTGCTCCTCTGCTCCTCTGCCCCTGCTCCTCCTCTGCCCCTCTGACCTCCCGGCGGCTGCCGGACGATGTCGCCGGCGTGTCGGTCCCGCCTCCGTCGTCACGCGATCCGCGCCAACTCGAGAGCGGCCTTTTTTCGGGATCTGGTTAGCGCCGCCGACACCGCGCCGCGGGCTTCAGTTGTGCCGTGAGCCGACCCGATGGATCGCCCGCAGCCGATAACTTCTGCGGCTTCATCGCCCGGGGCGGTACTGGACGATCACGCAAGGCCGAACCCCCACCCCCCACCCCTCCACACTCCGCACCGTCTCCTTCCATACTCAACCCGGTCCCAAAAGGCCGTCTCTGTTCTACTACACTCAACCTATCACCCAGAGTCCCGAACGAAGTATCTCAATGCATAAGTAGGGTTTTCTCCATTTTCCTTTCTGATAAAATGCAGATAAATATCCTTTTTCGACGCATCGAGACTCCCTACGTTTTGCTTTTGGAAAAAAAATACTTTAACACACAAACTAGTATATTATGAGCACATGTTATCCCAATAATGGACGTCGAGTAATTGCTATAAAATATAATCCTCGTTCACAGTGCCACCGAAAATTAACGACCTGGGCAGCAGCACGGACATGATCGTCAGGGAGATGCAGGACATCAGCCTGAGGTGCCGAGCGTCGGGCTTCCCTCCGCCGCGGGTGCAGTGGAGGCGAGAGGACGGCGCAGCCATCCAGCGCGGAAACGGCAGAGGTGGGAACCGGGAAGCGGCAGAGGTTGGAACGGGGAACGGCAGAGGTTGGAACGGGGAACGGCAGAAGGTGGGAACGGGGAACGGCAGAAGGTGGGTAGGGGTTACGACAGAGGTAGGTAGGTACGGGGAGCGGACAGTGGGCGCGAGGTTAGAGGTGCGAAGGGGAGCGAACAGGTAGCGGGACGTCAGACGTGGAAGTAAAGGTCAGAGAGGGACGTTAAGCATCAGAAAGGGACGGTGGGAGTCAGAGGGGGACAATGGTTTGTTCGGGAGGCACACTTCACCTGAATATTCTGTCACAAGGAACAGAACATTCAGTGAGCACTGTTAATTTTGTTCGAGTCTTTTGACCGCAAATATTTTTTATTAAGATATAAAGCCAAATAGGTATATAGTCCTTGGGTAACTTTCACCAGTTTATCCGATTACCTCTCAGCTTTATTCTCTCAGAGCAACCGTGTGTGTTAGCTAATGCATTCATCTCATAATCCAGACCGATCTGACGTTGTGTTTTCTCCCTGTCTGTTACGGACGCAGATTTCTTGCTCGGCGAGAGTTTTCTTTTCGGGAAACCGGAGAGCTGTTTTCTGTCAGGGGACGCAGGAGAGTTTTGACAGCGTCGCCGCCGTCAAGCCATTAAAAACCGGGCTCGCTTCATTACTTGCGCGTGAAATGCAATTCTGGACGCCACCACTCTTGCATTCCGAGCGACCCACTAAAAAATAGGTCTTGTGGTGACTGCCTGTCACAGGGAGATGTTTTGTGTGGGGGAAGGGGAGGGAGGGGGGCTGGAGAGGCGGCTGACCCACTCACTGGCTTATCTCAGCCCAAGAGACAATTCACTGCCTGATGTATCACGTGACGACGGGTCCCCTGTTCGGTCAGACTCCGCTGCGATGCTGGTGGAGGGTGAACAGCTCAACATCACGCGCGTCAGTCGACTGCACATGGGGGCCTACCTGTGCATCGCGCGAAACGGCATTCTTCCGGCCGTTAGCAAGAGGGTCGACGTCAAGGTGCACTGTGAGTGAGCCGGGGTGGGGACAGACAGGCCGGGAGGTCTGGAGGGAACGGAGACTGACGTGTCAATCGGAGCCTGGATTAGCGACTGTTTGCTGAAGTTGCCCGGGTGCTGTCACGTTCAATCTATATTGATTAATTTTGTGCATTTTGCAAAGTCTGTTTTGACCAATAATTGACTGGGCTGAGTGAGATTGTTAATATTGCCCCTGCCTGGTAGCCCGGTCCACCTGTGTGTCGCTCGTGAGTGACTGATCCCCACCCCACCCCTGTCTCCGCCTCCAGTCGGGCCAGTGATGTGAGGCGACTGATCCCCACCCCTGTCTCCGCCTCCAGTCGGCCCGGTGATGCTCGTCTCCTCGCAGCTCGAGTCGGCTTACGTCGGCCAGCGCTCCAAGCGCCTGCAGTGTGAGACCGAGGCGTACCCCCGCTCCATCAACTACTGGACCAACGGCGCCGGAGAGATGATCGTCGCCAGTACGTGCCTCGATCTCCCCCGACAAACCTGGGAAAACGACCCTGGCCGGACGGAGAGAGACCCACTCCGGGCAGACGACTGGGGGACCCGGGGTGAATCATGCAGACTCCCAGGATGACAGTAAAGACCATCGGGCGTCTGTCCGGTCCTTTGGCTGGTACGCTGCGGTCGCCCCAGACGCGTGGAAAGACCGCCGTCCGCAGCTGTCCCCAAGGCTCTGCCGTGTGTGCCGCCACGGGTCTCGCCCTCCCCCCCCCCCCGCCGTGTGGCCTCCACGGGGGCTCGCCCTCCCCGTCGCCCCCTGGGAATGGATAATCACGGCGCCAGCTCGTACGTCGTACCGCGCAGGCCCTGATTCAGTTAGCAGATGTGTTTTCGATTATCTGCCGCGGCAAGGTAGCAATCTGATTTGCGGCCGGCAGAGAATGTTTTTAGAATGTTAATCTGACAAGATTGGTGTCCCCTGGGGAACGCCCGAGAGGGCAGCGCCATATTCCCCTGTCATTTTTCCCTCGGCATCAGAGGACATATTCTGAGGCTCTTTCCGATCTGATTTTCTTGTATTACCTACGCACATAAATTTTACGTAATACTTCGTGAGAACGAGACGAGTTTTTGTACGACTGCCTGCTTTCGATAAAGCTTAATGTAAACAGATCACATTACAAGCAAAATATCATACAGATGGATGATTCACATTTCATTCTTAAGGTGCATTGCATGGTCTTGCTATTATCTGTGAGTCCCTTTTGTCCGTTTCAGGTGAAAAGTACCAGCTCAAGACTGTGGAGAAATCTCTGTATCAATTATCAATGATTCTCATTATCCACCACATACAGAGAGGTGACTTTCAAAACTACAGATGTGTGGCCAAAAACTCGCTCGGAGAAGTGGATGGAGTTATATCCCTGGACGGTGAGCAGCTTTATTTCGTGCGGAATAGTTTACTAGATCGCTTAAGGGGCCCTGACACTTGCACGATTTTGAGGCACGCATTGGCACGAATCGAATCGTGCCCGTGCGCAAACTAGTCGTGAACTGACGTGAAGTGTGCGTTAACTCGTCGTGACTTCGTGCCATGTCGGGTCAAAAACTTTGAAATGTTCAAAGTTTTGGTCACGACAAAATTTCGCAACCGGATCGTGAACTATGCGCAAACTGTTCGTGAACTCGTCGTGAACTCGTCGGGACGTTGCGGGAAGTGCGTAAACTATGCGCAAACTATGCGAAAAGTATTCGTGAACTCGTCCTACCAGCCCGTGCCAATCTGTGGATCTCGGCTTGCTTCGCAGCGCGAAATTTGGGATTGTTTGGTGTTTTTCCCGAGTCGATTGGACGCCTAGATGGGAAGTAATGACCGAAAATGTATTTAACGGGTCATTTCAGGTCAAAGAGGTCAAACTAGGTCACACGGGCTCATGTTAGGTCACAGAGGTCAAATTAGGTCACACGGTGTCAGGTTAGGTCACAGAGGTCACCATGAGGTCACGATGGGTCACGCCAGGTCGCAGAGGTCAGCCAAGGTCACGATAAGTCAGTCCAGGTCAAACTGGTCACATTAGGCAAGGTCAGGACATTTGTGTCACTGGAGGTCACGATGGGTCTTGCCAGGACACGGAGCTTACAGCCTTACATTAGTGAATGGGAGGTCCCACTTTTATATGGCATGCCCAAGTCGGCACAAATTGCGCAAACTTGTCGTGCCAATGCGTGAAGTGCGTAAACTATGCGCAAACTATGCGGAAAGTATGCGTGAACTCGTCGTACCAGTCCGTGCCAATGTGGACACTGATGGGCACGCATTCGTGAATTATTCGTGAAATCGTCGTGAACTGGTCGTGCACTAGTCGTGAACAGTGCGGGAGCCATCCCAGTTCGTGCACGAAAATGGCACGGCTTGCCACGACAAAATCGTGACCAAAAGTCGTGCAAGTGTCAGGGCACCTTTACTGTACGATAGCATTGTACATAAGGTATCGGTCTCGTATTTGCCTTTCTATGTAACTCATTGAGAATCGAGCCACTTATGCATTAGTACAGTCGGATTTTGTTGGCATAGTTATATCAGCAGCCGTAGTTTTGGTTCATCACTGAATTGACCCCGACTACCCTTCAGAGGAGCCTGCGCCGACGACGTACAGCACTGTGAAGCTGAACCAGAACATATACACCTCGCCGGCAGGTGAGTCAGCACCTGTCGCAGGCGGGGAGGACACATACCGCTGTAACATCACTGTGTGCACCACCCCACCCGTCTGTTACACGGCTTCAGGGAGCTTCAGCCGTCGCCTCTGTCCACCGTGGGTGCGGGAAGTTTCTCACCACATAGCTCATTACGCATTTATTAGTTTATCACTCGCTGCACTATAAAATTACACCTACAGGTTTCCGCAGTGAGAGGCTTAGACTTCCAAGCGAGGTTTCTTGTTATGAGGATTCGGCAATTGGCTCACTGCGCTTTTTCGCACCAGTGCTATTCGGTTGATGTACAAAAATCACGCTAATGTAGATCCTATTGTTCACTAGCACCAGAAGCAGTGCACCAGTGCACATAACTTGCGCGCATCTGTATACAGGAGCCATGTGTCGGGTAGTGCACAGTGCACGTGCACCACTGTGCAGCTCCGAGCTGGCAGTCGTCCCGCCACCGCTGTGTGTGTCCGTGTGTGTGTGAGTTTGCACGGCCGTTGCAGAGTCGCCGGCGGAGACTGCCGCAGAGCGGGAGGAGGTCGTCCCTGCTAGACCGGACCCCCGGTCCGACCGCCAGTGGGATGGTGTCCGCAGAGGTCCCACGCCGGCGCGGCCGGAGCGGCCACCTCCCGGTAACGGAGCAGGCTGAACTGACCTGAGCTTACCCGAGCTGAGCTGAGCTGAGGTGACCTGACCTGAGCTCACCTAAGCTGAGCTGAGCTGAGCTGACCTAAACTGACATGAGCTGAACTGACCTGACTTGAGCTGAGCTGGCTTAAACTGATCTGAGCTGAGCTGACCTGACCTTAAGTGGTCGCCTCCCGGTAAAATACACTCGTACCCGACAAGTGAGTGGCCTGAGCTGATAAGCTGAAAGGCGGTAGCTGACCGATTGGGTCTGAGCCGACCTGACCTGAAATGAGGGTCCACCAGACTAATCTGACTTTATACGAGATGAATGGTTGACCTGCTTTAAAAGCTAAGCTCAGCAAAAAAAAGATGAGGTTCCTATTTAGCCATACATGGCCTGGGCCATGGCTGAACAGCTTTACTTTTGATTTGATTTGATTTAATGCTGCTCAGTAACAATTATTGAAGAGCTGTCGGTATCAACATTAAAACATTGTGTTTTGTTACTAAACGTTAACTGCATGTTACCGAAGTAAGATCGGCATCTTTTACATCGTGCTTTAATTGCTTATCAATATATCCTGTCCATTAATTGCGTAATCCATAATAATGAATGTGCAGTCAAGAGTCGCACAATCTTTCTTAAGATAATTTCATTGTAAAAAGGTATTGTTTGTCATGCAAAGATGTGCCATTTAACAAGTGCATAAAGCGATATAGACAATTTTCTGGAGCTAACTGCTAACAATGCTGGTGCGTTCCTTTTTCAGGGCTGGGGAAGCCGGGAGAGGCGTCGGCTGGCGATAGGTACTCGGTCGAGCGGACATCTAGCAGGGCGACAGTCACCCAGGACGCCCAGTGGCTACTGGTAGCCATCGTCGCCGCTGCCGTGGAAGCCTACTGGGGCCTCCGCTAACCGGGAGACTCCGAATGAAACGCTGTTCCTGATGCCCACCGTGGTGATTGTGCACCGTTCAAAGCGTTACCGATGATGAAATGCATGATGTCTAGACTCGTGGTTTTGTCGTGACGTCACTGCAATCCATGCACGGGCCCAGAGAGAGTGTAAAGGAGCCACAGGGTAAGCTTCCTAAGCCAATGCAGGTCTTCAACTGATTCGGAGATTTGCAGTGTTTCCTGTTTACGAATAGCGTTTAGCGGCATCCAGCAGACAGATATTAACTATCTATGGTTATGCGAGTGAGTTGTGAGTTAAAAAGCAAGTGAGTTATATCACAGTGCGGGATTGGGGTGTATATGCAGGCCACACATGTGGCAACGCCACCCTTCCTCGGCTGATGCATCCAGTCCGTTTAAATGGATGAGCCTGTTTCCTAGGGTCACGGGCAATGAATGTCGCTATTTGCATCGGTGGGCTTTTGGATCCATTGGAACGGTAATATAGGCATTTGGTATCATGGTAAAATAGCGAAAATGCTAGATTATGGGAACATTATGTGGATATTTGATATGCAGCTCAGTTATAATTTCTCTCGACAATTAGCACGAGTTAATTTCAAATCATAAAGCAAAGCGAGTGTCCACCTCAATATCAATGTCTGATGTCACGACCCAGCCAATAAGTTTTTGAAAACTGTTTTGGAAGCAGGCTAGCTGCCAGGAGCTGCAGTTCGAGTCGTGCACGACTGAAAATAAGTTGAGTCGTCGTGCATTGTTCAGTGTTGACTACCTATATTTGTTGACGACGAGGTCGTTTGGTGAGAACGGATGTGGCAGTGTTTTCCGCCGTGCTCAGTCGGGCTTTGTGAAAGCACGAATGTTTGATGGTGAGTGTGCATGAGTGCGCAATATGTATTATGTAGCGTAGTCACGGGTATGTGCAATGTGGATTCGACTGCAGGAGAATGGAGGACTGAATATTCGGCGCTGCTGTCCATCGCTGTACGGTCCACGATGAACGTTGACCGCGGGTATCCCGGCCTGGAATGCTACTTTACTTACCGAGCGCAAGAGGTGATTCAATACACTGTGCTGGCCGGGAAAGTTGTCACAATTTGCGTTTTTTTTGGGGGGGGGAGGGGACAACCAATAATCTACACTACCGGACAACCAATACTCTACACTAGCCAAGAAGTCTGATCACTATATCGCAAAGCCAGGATTCTTGGGCTATCACCTATTACTACTTTGTCGGCACACCACTTATAGAATTCTCGACTGCTTTTCTCAGACCAAACGCGACGAGCGATCGGACCCCCCCCCCCCCCCCCACACACACACATAGGCCGGAGCCGGGTGCCGCTGCACCTCTCCCACGGTGTGCATTAAGGAGGCCGGTCCCGAGCCGCCCCTCCAAGACCGATGAAGAGCAAACCTGCCACTGGTGATGCATGCGGCCGGCGGCAGCATTGTGGGCCGGAGGAGCGCCGCGCCGCAACAGGGCGCCGCCGCGCCGCCCCTCAGCCCGGTATCCGCGCTGATTGATAGTGTGGCCCGCTGTACCAGCCGCCGCCGGGTGCCCGGAGCGATCGGCGAGACTCCCGCACCCATAGCGCCGATTAATACCGCCCCATTGATGTGTTATACCGCCTTTTATCGAATGGCGTTTCTTTGATTGAGCATATGCGGAGTGCCGCTTAGTGTAGCGCCGTTATATCAATGGAAAACATTGTTGTATTCTGTACATGTTTAGTTTGTGTAGATCAATGGTCAACACCCAACCTTTGGTGGAATTTTGGATGCACTGTTCACTGTTGAACCATTTGGGAAATTCGCATTATCGATAAGTACCTACCTATACATTATACAAGTCAACTTATCCTGACAAAAGCTATCCTGACAATGAAGAAAATGACGAAGTGCTAATTCCTTGTTGAAGTTTTTGATAATAAAATATAAAATAAAATGAAATATAAATAACAAAAATAACCAAGATAACCAAAATGTGAATAGTGTTAAAAGCTCTTTTTGAAACAAAGGTCGTGTGGGTAGGTATGCTTAAAAGCAGCTCCCTCTCTGTAACCGTCTTGAGCCAACGTAGACAAAAAATAAACACATCAGGAGGGCGGTACTTCCTTCGGTCGGAAAATCAATAAAGCGCGTTGATATTTCCTATCAGGATAAGATCAGCCGTTTGATCACTATCACGCGACTTATGTACACATTTCGCAGCACTCAGAGCGAATAGGTACCATGCATCTCACGACGACAGCAGGCAGAATCGCAAAGGTGTTAGAATGAATAAACTAGCCCAGGAGCCGCTGCGGGGGGAGGGGGCGTAAAGTTGCACCCTTTTACGTTCTGTGTGATATCTCCGAAACCTGATAAGATATGACTTGCTGCTTGATGTAGCTTCAAATGGTTGCACATTTGCACAGGCCATATTTGAGGAAAGTTTGGTGGTTGCAAGACTAAAGATGATTTCATAGTGATGTCATTAAGTTTCCTCGTTTTCTTATACATGGAGCGTTTCCGATGTCGTTGAGCATGAAATGTACCTAACGGTAAATGAACTTTACAGCACACCATTGAAGCATCAATGGTGTGAGTGGAGAAGGAACTCATGGCCTCCCACTCCCGATGGAGGCCCCAAATCCCTATCATGTCTAGACTCTTTTTTAGTCATGTCTGGTTTACTTTGTATCTCGGTCGGGGTGTCTGGGGCGACCAGCAACGCGGACCCGCTATCCGGTCACGAGACGCGGCGTCCCGACACCCCATAAAAACTTATGTGTTCTAAATACATTCACTCACTTCTCCTCTACCGACTGTGACGCCAACACCATCCGCGGATCCCGGCTCCGACGAGGGCGGCCGAAATGGCCGGCCCACATGTGTTACTCAGTTGCATGTTCTCCAACGTCACTAATAGGTGGGTATACCCCCACCAATTGCGGAAGTCGGTATTTTGTAAGGAGGAAAAGAAACGCGAATCTTTAATTGGGCTTCTGACATGACTGTGACGTAATTAAAATAAAGATGAACTCAACGCCAAACGTTGACACAACCAAGATTCTGTTTTGTTTTGTTTGTTTGTTTTGTTGGGTTAGGCCCTTTCGGTCGACAAGACCATTGCAGAGCCGGAAGGATGATAGGAATTAGGGGGAGACATTGGTCTGGGCAGGCACCCTAGAGAGTCGCCGGGGCTGAGCCCGTCCATAGGACAGGCCGACCAGCCCCCCAAGCACTCTCTGCACCCGGCTACGGGGTGCAGCTCCCTCGGGAGCAGCGGTGCCGCTCCAAGGGAGCAGCCCGCATGAGATAAAGATGCCTGTCCAGCCCGGAAGGGGGTTGTGGCGTGGAGGAGAAGGATTTCAGAATCCTGAGGATAGAAGCACGGATAGGTGTGAACCAAGATTCTTTCTACGACTGCCTATTCAGGAATACATGTGCAAAGTTTCGCTTATCTATCTCTTCGCATTGCGACGATATCATCGGAGATGTAAACAGGGGCAACAGATTCCCTCCTTCCCCCCCCCCCCCTCCCTGCGGCTGGCGGGTGGCGCGGAGGCGCAGCAGCCGCCGCGCCGGTCCGCGGCTCGAGCCATGCGGAACAGCATGCTTTCAGGCGTTTGTCACTGCTGCCATCTAGGAGCGATTATTAAAGCTCTAGCCATGCGGAACAGCATGCTTTCAGGCGCTTGTCACTGCTGCCATCTAGGGGCGATTATTAAAGCTCGAGCCATGCGGAACAGCATGCTGTCAGGCGCTTGTCACTGCTGCCATCTAGGAGCGATTATTTAAGCTAGAGCCATGCGGAACAGCATGCTTTCAGGCGTTTGTCACTACTGCCATCTAGGAGCGATTATCAAAGTATTGGTAGGGAACAGGGGTCCAACCTTCAGATGCCCTCTAAATACTATTCGATCCTATTCGGGCCTCTAAATGCGATATGTCTTAGGGTCTTGATTCGAGCAATATCCAGATGCCCAGCATCTTTTGTTTATTACACCAACCACGAATGCGAGGGCATTTGGCCCAAAATAATTTTTCCCCTTAGTTCAGGTTTGTTTTATCGAGTGTAAAGTAATCTTGGTTTGATAGACATCCAAAACTGCATATCGCTGTGCCGATTCGCTCGTATTTGAGGGAGAGCTTCGCGAGCAAAGAACCTCGTGTTGTCGGGTCAAGATATGGATAGAAGGGTTAGCAGTTATGGCTCAGGGCGGTCAATGGCCATTGAACCCTGAGGTTGGGCCATCGCCCATCAACCCTAAAACAAAGGTTAAGCTGCTCCTCTATAAACATTAGCAATCAAAACGGTCACAAACCAATGATCTGCATTATCGTCGCGCTGCTATGATCAGCAGCGTCGAACCAAATACCTTTTGTAGGATCAAGGTCAAACCGAGTGTTGACCTGAGATAAAGGTCAGGTCAAAGCCGGTCAAACAAGCGTGCTGATCCAATAAGCTGGCGGTGCTGATTCAATTCGACAGCCCTTCTAATCTTTCTCAATTCGCTAACATGACTTCTAGATGAACAGCCATGACTTTTATCCAGTAATACGTGCCAGAGTAGTCGATTTTCACGGTCTAAGTCAAAGATAAGTGAACGAACAACGATTGTAAGAGCGGCTTTTACAGCCCAATTCCGATCCTAAATACCTACTTTTGCTCTTCGGTGACGGCTCGCAGTCGAAGAAAAAGCATAATCAGAGAGGAGATTGTATTTATTATACACCAGCCTTTTCACAAAGAGAGAGGGTCAGTTCTAAGCATGTTGCCTTCTCACTACGGGAAAACTATTTAGCATTCACAGAATATTGCCATTAACTGAACGCATATCCACCCTGGAATAATACATTAGAATATACTGTCAACATAAATACATAATAGCGGCGGCAGTCCCCGCCTCACACGCATGCTGGCACCTATCCTGGCGCGCCTGAAGCCACCACGCTCCAAGCGCTACAAACAGTAAGTACAACTGTCTGACCCCAAATCAAGATCCCAAAAGTAAAAGCGAGCAGCAGTACCGTGAAATACATCAACACTGAATTCGGACGTGACGCCGATCTGGCCCACACCGGTGCGGCGATCAAGCGGCGGTTATGGTTCGCGTCAGTGCCAGCGGACGGCGCCCGGCCCGCAACGACACGGACATCGGACACAGCAAGGACCACGAGATAACAACGTCCGCCGGCAGCGAGATCCGACCGAACGGTACAGCCAGATCCGAGCCACTCCCAGCCGCCGAGTCGGACCCCACGCCCAGGGTAGAGTAGTGCGATTCCACTCCTCGTGATCTTCACTCAGGCGGCGGCGGTGTCGGGCCGCAGCCGCGTGGATAGTGCTGCCACCTATTCTGCGACGGTGCTGCCACCTGTCGCTAGCGTGGCGTCTTTGCCACAAGTGATGTGCGGATGGCTCTGCCTGCCGGCGTTTAGAAGCGGCGGTCGCCGGCTCCGCCCGGCTGCTGCATCTGAGTGCGCACGGCGTTGGCGGCGAAGTCGGCAGTAGCGCTCTGCACGGTCTCGTTACGCATCACTCCGCTGGTGAACTCGGCCTGGGCCTTGCTCATGCTGGCGCCGGTCGTGCGGTAGATTTTGTGCACCTGGTGACGGCCGAGATAGAGGTTATTGTAGGCAGGGTGGGAGAACGCTACCAGACAGGCCAATGTCGCAATCCATCAGCAATTGCTGCAATTCGAAGCTCTTGATGACATTCAAGTCTAAAACAATTACGTTATCTTCACAAAATATCTGTTGCGATTAGAATGAATCTAGCAGCCGCTAGAAGAAAATATGGCAAGCATCGAAAGCAATCGAATCCAAAACATATTTGCTGGCAAGCTACTGGTTTACTTCTGGCATAACCATTGAATACTGGCATAACCACCACGCTGACAGACCATGTTAACAGGGGGAATGGGAAGGAGGGGTTAGAAGAATGAGACAGGATTGCCGACAAAAGTTAAGGGCACCAACACCTCCGGATTCAAACTCAGATGGCTTTTGAATGGAAAACACTTTGCTACATGCAAATGTCTGGTGACTAGATGAAAATTACTCAATCACTCGCAAACAAACGAAACAGGAACTGAAAACCCGAATTTGTTTTTTGTTTTGTTGGGTTAGGCTCTTTCGGTCTAGTAAGACCATTTCAGAGCCAGGAGGATGATAGATAGGGGAAGACATTGGTCTGGGCAGGCACCCTAGTGAGTCGCCGGGGCTGAGCCCGTCCGAAGACAGGCCACCCAGCCCCAAGGCACTCACTGCACCCGGCTACGGGGTGCGCTCCCTCGGGAGCAGCGGTGCCGCTCCAAGGGAGCAGCCCGCATGAGATAAAGTTGCCTGTCCAGCCCGGAGGGGGGTGGCGGTGTGGAGGAGAAGGATTTCAGTATCCTGAGGATAGAAGCATGGAACGGTGAAAACCCGAAATCCGCAGCGAAACCCTTGAGCGTATGAATCACATCTGCCTGATACTTCGATTAAAAATGACCGAGAGATATCTATCCGCCGTGCCTGCATTATGCAATAGCAGCCTTGGCGAAGCAATCTTTTCAGAGGTGCAACACTTCCCAGACTAGTGAGGTGCACCGGTCACACCTCCTTCCGCCACCGAGCTCTGTTCCGAGTCTGCTTCCGACCCAGCCGATCTGTTGCCATGGTAACACACGCCGAGTGCAGTTGGCTGGATGTGGCGCCGGTCGTGGCCGCCGTGGGGAGCAGAGAGCGCCAGTCGCGTGCATTTTTCCGCGGCTAGTGGACGCCACGCCGTCCAATGGACACGCCGCATTCTTTCAGCGCCATCCAGGACACCGAGAGCGGAGTACTTCAGCATTCACCGGCCAGCCGGATCGGGAAATCCTCTACCACCTCCACCACTGGGTCCAGCCACCAGCGCACACATCACTCACTCATGCACAGCACGCACACAGAGAAATAAACGATACCTTCACCTCAAGACTTTCCTCCTCAGTCCTCACACACATGATCACAACCACACTCACACACAGACCATCGAACCACTTTAGAGTACTGAACCGCCCCAAAGCAGGCCTGCATCCTAAACCTCAGAAAATACCGAACCAAACTAAGTGGGACTAGATCAGAACTAATCAAACAAAATCAGGCCAACACAACCGACAAACCAAACAAAATTAAACGAACCAAGTTCAATATAACCCGACCAAACCGAACTGAGCCCGACACACAGTAATCAGTCTGTCCGGTTCAAACCGGACTGCGCCGGTTCGATCCGGCCCGCCTCACCCGCAGGATAAGGATGCCGCAGAGCGCGGTGACGCCGGTGAACGCCATGGCGATCAGAGTGGTCAGCAGCGCCAGCGCGGTGGACTCCTCGTAGGTGCTGAAGGCCACCGCCCAGCCGCTGGGGGCGCCGAACAGTCAGAGAGCGGGCCGGTGAGGGGTGACCACGAGAGGGGTCAGCGATGGTGACCCGGTCAGGGACAGCGCGCCGGTCACCCGGCCCGTGTCACCGCTGCGGTCCCTGAGGCGGCGGTCAGGTCAGTGCCGGGACAGCTGTGTGAGAGATGTGCCATCCTGAAAGCCACCTACGTCCGACCACGACCAACAAAACGCGGCGGAATGATGAAAAGACGCAACCTGAAACTGCTTCTGAAACACAGCACAACAGACAACTGCGGCCAGAAGCGTCACTCAGCGATCCAGTCAGGCACGAATCATCGAAAGCTCCTGGATATCTCGGCATCCGCGGCATGTTTAGATGACCCTAAATAGTCCTGAAAGCTAGCCAATCCGCCAGCCGACACCAGTCATACATACGTCTTTTTGAACCGATACATCTCATCGCTGGACAAAATCAACTCAGCTCGGCTAACGGGAACATACGAGTCCACAGGGAGGGCGACTCCGGCATGCAGCTTTGACCATATTCTCCCGGCGTTTGCTCTAGGGACTGTTCAGTGTTCAACCATGAATGGAGAGCACCCATCAGTCCGGGCGAACAACATGGAATATTACGTCAGAGATCAGATGAGTCGAAACCGAGGCCGAGACGAATCCATTATCTATATTGGAACGAAAAAAAAAAACTAATGGAAAACGAATTGATATGCTTGGCTGGCTAGGTAGAGACACCTTGAGGCAAACCTAGAAAGACTGGGTGAAGGCATATTGCCATGATGGTAGGAGAGCGTAAAAGCATCGGTGTTGCGTGATTCGAGGAGCCTAGAACTCTAACCGACACCCGGTGATCAGTGCAGCCACATCACACGTCCGGAGGGATATTTGGCAGGAAACGCTACTGATAACAACGTTAGTCGGATGACGGTCAGTCACAGAGGGGCGCGTAAGACAGTTATAGAAGAGTATATACAGAGTATATACAGAGTCTGGCATAGTGGATCGTGAGAGGGGTGTGAATGAACACCCCAGGAAGGGAGAGGGAGGGAGGGAATCTGACGGAGCGGCGGCAGCCAGTCCGCTGACCTTGACGATCAGGATGAAGTCGCAGAGGGCGACGAAGGCGAACCCGATGCCGATCAGGAGGGCCAGCACGCCGACCACGTAGTTGCCGGCCGTCTGTCCGGCGCTGATGGCGCTCAGGCCGTTGATGATGCCGCTGACGTCATAGTTACACGTCATGTCACACGTCAGTTGGGGTATCACACGTCAGGCACACACAGCGGACCCGGCAGGGCAGTCGGACGGCGGCCACCCGCGGGAACAGCCCGTGGCCAGGTCACGGTGGCTCGCTCGGCTGCAACTGGGCGTGGTGTCGGGCGACGAGGCGGGTATGACACAGACAAAACAATGGAGAGGGACATACTGGTGCCGGGTGGCCGGGGCACACAGAGGAGACTGTTCAATCAATCTGATGCCTAATCACTTATTTGAAATTAAAGACGTTAAACACCTATTCCAAAACAAATATCACAACAAAGGCAAAACCCTTACAAACATCTCTTGTCCTTGCAACAATCAAAAACCTTACAACAATCAGTAGATTGTCCAATCAATCTGGCACGAAGCTTAATCATTAATTTGAAATTTAAGACGTTAAATACCCATTCCAAAACAAATATCACAACAAAGGCAAAAGGCCTTATTTCTACCAAACAAACGCCCGGCATGGGCCATTGGGCAAACATCACCTGTCCTCATCCCAGACCAACCCCACACATCATTCCACCTGTACATTCCACCTGTAGTCCTCCCCAGCCCCGACTACCACCCTCCTGTCTCCTCTACTGTAGTTCCCCTCGCCGGCAGCGGCAGTACAACGGCGGTGGTATCGGTAACCGAACCCTCCGTACCACCGGGATCGCCGCCGGTCCGATCTAATGACACTCCCCATCCCCCCCCCCCCCCCCCCGGAGGGGTGCCGCAGAGGAGCGGCGCGGTGCAGGCACTAGGCGCCCCTCCCCCCTCCCCCTCCCGAGGGTTGCCGCGGCGGGGCAGGGCGGGGCACTCACCAGGCGCCGAGATTATTGATGCCGATCGCGTGCACGCCGCTCACCATCAGTTGAAAAAAGAACACGAAAAAGAAGACCATGAAGTTGAACGAGCTGTCACTCCTGTGAGAAACGAGAGATAAATTATTGCACGTCACAGGGGAATAACAGCTCTCAGTACGGATGGTGTTTATCGGTACAATAACGCGCACATTGAGATAGATGATTAATCGAAACAAGGCGACATACGCAGTGTAATCAACGCACTCGTAAACGTAAGATCCTACCCAAGAGCATGTTTGTACGTGTCATTTACTAACGCTCTTGAAGTTGATCACATTTTCCTGGAAAGCGAGAGCCCGTTACCCGACACCAAACCACAGCTATCACGTGACACGCCTGGGCTGAGTCAGCATCTCCCCGTGACGTCACATATCACCCCCGAGCGCCAGTGACGTCACACATGCTGGTGACGTCACCTATCTCCCGGCGGTCGGACAGACAGAGCCCGCGATAAGGCACTGAGCACTGCGCAGCGGCTAGTCGTTATTGACGCGAGAATAGCCGCGTTGGTGTAAAGGATACCATGGGTTCATCTGAACAGCGCTCTCGCACCCGTCTGTGTCTGCGGGCTCTTTGGGAGCAGATATCAAATAATAGCAATAGCGCGTGGTGTGGTTACCAGGGGCGGGTGTTGGCGGGATCCGGGACGGCCGCCCATGTAAAACCGCCAGCCCCGCGGCGTGCGCCGTCCGAGCGCTCACCTGAACGCCTTGTAGATGGGCCTGAACCAGCACACGTAGGAGGCCGGCGTGAACAGCACAAAGTAGAGCAGCGCCAGGCCGAACATGGAGAACTGGCCGAACTGGATCATCATCGCCATGCCGCCGATGATGTTCACCAGAAGCACCATACTGTGCACTGGGCGGGGGGGGGGGGTAATACAGTCAGTAACCAGCACCATACTGTGCACTGGGTGGACGGGGGGTGAAAATACAGTCAGTAAGCAGCACCAGGCTGTGCACTGAGGGATATAATGACGTCAGTCATCCGTTATACATGCTGTGCACGGACAGTTACTAGTCGTGGTGGACCGGTCAGTCGTGGGACCACAAACGTAATGACGACTGACTATTGACTATAAAAAATCACCTTTGATCACGCAAGCAGCTCGGTAGGTTTGGGGCGAAAACTTATGACGCTCAACGTTGACTGCACGATTTGGACAGTCAACTCAAAATACAAACTCAGCAACATCCCAGAGGTGCCCCACCCCACCTCACCCCACCCGCTGCGCTCCCCACTGGTTACTCACGCCCCCACAGGTAGTAGAGGTGCCGGGTGATGCGCTGAAACTCCAGCGGGATGTCCACGTTGATGTCCTGGTAGAAGCACGGCCCGATGGGCACGAACGACGGCAGCGGCGGCCAATTGTTCTGGCGCGCGTTCAGCTGGCCGCTGCGGAGCGCCTCCTCTCGCCGGCGCAGCTCTTCATCCTTACGCTCCAGCTCCTCCTGCTGGCGCTGCGGGCCACCGAGGTCAGAGGTCAGGTCACCGAGGTCAGAAGTCGGGTCTCCGAGGTCAGAGGTCAGGTCACCGAGGTCAGAGGTCGGGTCACGGCGGCTAGGTCACGGCGGTAGATTACTGGCGCCTGGTGAGGTCAAGCAGGTCATGCAGGTCAGGTCAGGCCACGTCGCGCACCATAACCTCAGATCCCGCCTGAGTCTCGGTGAATAGGTTAAAAACGGTCACCGGAAAACATTGATAGGCGTGTAGTGGATAGGATGGGATTGCAACAGGTCATTACCGAAAACGCAGTGTGCATTACACCGACCCCACCACCATTTTTAACAACCAGTATAACGCCTTTTGGGGCGACTAACGGAGCGAGCGAGAGGGTGGGCCTTGCACGTGCGAAATTGCGAGGGGGTACCTCCAACTAACTTGTGCACGGCACCCTACTAACTGGTCTCTAGCGATGTGCCGAATTTGAGCACAATCGGCCCAGCCGTTCTCGAGATCTGGAAGCGGCACCCTGCACGTGCGCACGTGCAAAATGGGTCCCAACTGACTTGTGCACGGCACCCTACTAACCGGTCCCTAACCGTGTACCAAATTTGAGCGCAATCGGTCCAGCCGTTCCCGAGATCTGGAAACGACCCCTGCACGTGCGCACGTGCAGCAGCACCCCAACTCTGGCACATGTATATGCAGTGCCTAGTGGGTGCCTACCTACATGCCAACTTTCAGCGCAATCGGCCAAGTAGTTACCGAGATATTGCAACAATTACAAAACTGACACCTCTTCGTTTTGCACGTGGCACGTGCATAAGGGGTCACCCACATGCATCGGGAATAGTCCAATACTTGGTAGAAGGAATGAAGCTACCCTACAAAAATTACTGCGTGTAAATCGGTCAAGTGGTTGCTGAGATATAAGCCTCGCAAAAGCGTGACCACGGCCGGCCGGCCGGCCGGCCGGTCGGCCGGCCGCTCATACTCAGAAATTTCCGTTAATCTAAGGAAAGACTACGCTCGCTTCGCTCGCTCCGTAATAAAAAGTTAAAACCATTTCAAACAAGGTACCATTACAAGGAATAACCTAAAGTTACAAAGCCTTCTCAATGAAATGTTGCGGGTCTCAATAGCCCACCAATGAATATAAAATCTATATCGCAGCATGTTAAGCTTGGGCTGTGATACAACGAATAACACCCGCAGTCTACAGTTACGTTCCAACATTTCGACGCTTCGGAGTAAGTGCTTCAATAGAATTCACAATTTCAAACATACTGACAATTCATTGTTTTATCGTTAATCGCGTTTCGTCGTTATCTCTGTTAGTAATCAGAACAGACTGTGCTGAACGGAGCAGCCACCGGCCGTTTATCAGCGTCCGTCGCACACGGGAAAAGACACGGGATATGATGTAAAGGACGGGACAACGGACGAGGCCGTGATTCAGAGGGGATGCATGGTCGAGGACGCTGGGATTGCGTTAAAGCTGTCTTGAGACGAGGATGCGTCGACTCGACTGTCGAGAAATGTTTACACAAGCGTATAGAAACGTGGAGTTTGACAGATACATGACCATAGTATGTGTCTGTATTTGGTGTCATGGAAGTCGCCGTGGTCTAGGTCTTACTTGCCTTATATTGTCAACGACCATAAAGAGTAGCCTGGTAGTCCGCGGCAAGCACAGATTAGTCGCATTCGTTTTACAAACAGCATCACATCATGCATACATGCATGAGTCTGAACAGGTCTGTTCTGGCCTAAACCGGTGGTGTCTAGAAGACAAGCTCACGGAGTTTCGTACTCTTATCGGAATTATACCGGGAAGCTAACAACGACCCGTGCGCTCAGTGCTCCTTTGATGTGTCGATGCAATCTGACTCATTTGACGTGAGTCACAAAGAGCAGCATCAGACGCAAAAAAGGACAGTTTCTTTTTTTCCGACGTGACGTCACTTACGCGTCGGCGTTGGGAGGCAAGTATCGACGCACTATAGCCATCTCGCCCCTAACTATGGTCATGCCTAGCTGCCAGTTTGCCTAACCAGTGTCCCGTATTGACCATGAGCGACCCTGGGGACCATCACGGTACATCACGTCACGAGACCGTCCCGCGGCATGACGTCACCGCCGGGCGTCTGGCCTACCTGTTTTGTAGACCCCTCTCAGCCACCAGCACAGCAGTGACCTCTGCCAGCGGTGTGACCGCTCTGAGACGAACCTAACCGCCGCAGGCGGCTCGGCATGTATCATACTCAGCCCGTGGCGTGCAACGATAGACAGAAGTAGGCAGACCACAAAGACGGGACCGGCTCACAAAACGACACAGGACATGTTGTTTTAGATACGACAGCTAATTGTTCTTTAGGAAATAAGAAAGATAGGGAAAATAAACTATAAAGCAAAGCACGGTTGAAGACATAGCGCAGAAAGTTTTTTTTTGTCGATGCACGAAGCAAAGCGGTCGGTATCGCTCTCATGTCACAAGAGCTGTGGTGTGCTTGAAATACAGTTTGATCTCGCGGCGGGGTAATGTACTTGATGAGGATAAGTGAGTGAGAAAAAATATCATCATCTCCGACAACCGTAAACATTAAAACAGTTAACTAAACGTAAGTGAGGAAAGGTACATACGTCCAAGCAAAGGTACAATGATATACATGCGGCCTGAATTTCATGTTAGTAATATGGTATGAAATACGCAGGTGTACCCGAACATCGGACATCAAACATAGAATCAAAAGTGCAGGCATACAGGTGTACCTACGGAGGTCTATGGTGCAGGGAATTAAAACGTTATGTGTCATGCAACATGCAAATGCTTCACTACCCCGTGGACGAAGCACACTTACCCGAAGAGCCTGAAAGTGGACAGTAAAATTGTGTTAGGTAAAATAGCGAACAGGCAGCACTAGCAAACACCCACTACGTCAAACCCATTAATTATCAATTATTACACGTCATCACACTAGGGTCTTGTTTCACGGCCGCTGCCAGCACACGTGTCAAATTGGGTTTCCATGGAGACATCAACAAGCCCATTGCTCCAGCACTACCACTTAGTGTGACGTCAACTCGCGAAATGCGCTGGCAGCGGCTGGCAGCACGGACGTGAAACAGCCCCAAGACATGCACATAACCAGTTAGTACTATCATCGAATCATTTACTTGTTGCACAATAATGGCATACTTCCAATAAGCTGCCCAATCGCTTTGAATGATTAAGCCAGATTTCTCAATTAATACTTGATTAATACTATGCCACCAATTTATTGAGTCCCGTCAGAAACACAGCATGCCACAAACTTCTCTCAAAGCAAAGCAGATTTAAGCACAACTATATCCTCAGTCATTTACTATGCCAATGTTAATAGCTGCGGCGAGCCACGTTTCTCATACAAGCATCCCATAACTTTTGCTCTCATAAAACATGTTACATGTCGTGGATATTGTAAAAATTCAAAGTCATAGAAAACCTCTCTCTCTCTCTCTCTCTACCCAAAAGTCACGGACCTTCTGTAAGACCACCGCCCAGCATCTCACTACGGACAAGATGGAGCCCCACCGTTCTCCTCTGCTCGGCACCCTCAGCAGACCGCGGCGCGCGGCGGGCTCACCTGGAGCTGCTCAGTGTTGATCTGCTGCTGGGAGGAGGCCGTGTACGGCGGCGGCGGCTGCGTGTCCTGCGTGGGCGACATCACGGCCGGCGCCGCGCCCGTGCCGGCCGCCGGCGCCGCCGCAGTCTGCTGACCGTCGAACGGGTTGTACTCCTCCAGGCCGGGCGCATTGCTCTGTGTCGCTGACTTCACGGCTGGGTCCTGGTCACATGGGGAGGCAGGATCACAGGTGTGCTTCAAACAGGAATAATGGCCGGCCAGACCTTTAACTGACAAATCGGTGAAGGATATGATCCTATACCTACCAAGCTACTTAAGAGGATGGATTTGAGCTGGAACCTTCAATGTTTACCAAAGAATAAGTATCAGAATGATAGGTCTATGGTACAGGTTTGAGGCTGAGTAGCAGCTCACACAGCATTTCAATCACCTATGGAAGGCCAGCAGGTGGTTGACAAGAGTATGCCACAACAGATACATCATGCAAGAAGACCACAACAGCATGTTTTCGCATTTGAAGTTAAACAGCTGGTTAAAATCATCAATGGCAAATCGACCCTTCAAAGAACAATAATTTCAAAAGATATGTCACCAGCTCTCCACCTAGAGTCCTAGACTGCAAAATATGACAATGTAGATGAGATCTCACAAGTACAGCCTACAGGGACACTCAGCCAATGAGCTGACCTGCTGGAATGGAGTGGCTGCAGGTTATAAATGTGAACTGAACTGAACCACTGTGCTGGCAGAGCCTTGTTCAAATATAGGTATGTAGGTATATGTGAGATACATGCATGTGAGGGACTGGAGTAGGTGAAGGATTAGGCATTAGGCATTAGGCAGCATGCATAAAATCATAAACAAGGACTTTCAACTTGATAACATATTTATAGGCCTTGCTCAGTGCAGTGCAGGCTGGTACAGATATCCAGCCTGATAGGTGTGTGCTGGTGTGGGCCTTTCAGTCTTTCACCCGAGCGGATGTGGCTTGTTGACGCCGTCTCAACTCTGCGGCCATGCTTGCAGTAAGGATATTTATGTCAGTTTGGTCTCACATATCATAAGGTGTGTCAAATTATTGAAAATCATGACACAATTTATAAAATGCGAATTAAAACCTTACCGCAAAAGGGTCAGCAAACGGGTTATCATCAAATCCTGACATTTTGGCTTGCGTTGATGGAGAAATGAACGCTGGCACGTAAAGCAGCTGAGCTCAGTTAAACTATTTAGGTGATGAGATACCACTTATGCAATCGTATCATAGCAAACAAATGGTCTTAATTAAAACAAATCCTTATATTTTCCCAATATCCAGCAGCCCCGCTTCGGTAAATGACAACACCGGCGCGACACTGCGCAATTTTAGCCCCGGGATCGGTAGAAGCTGCCATAACAGATCGATGACTTTTTTGTAAAATGACATCATAGATATTGATTTTTCGTGATTCGTTGAAAGATCCTTTCGGGTATACTGTTTCAAATTTGCATCAAGAGATATCTATCATATTTTCATTCAATCTGATCCATTGAAATATACTAAAAATTGACAAAAAAGTATTAATTAATTCCACCAAAGAGAAGGCAATACAAATTGTTTTCATGACGTCATCAAAAACTTAAATGGCTTTTTTGATAAATTTATCGAAATTTGTGGTGCATGTGATTCTCGAGGTGAGGTTGATGAGGTTTTGATCACAGTTATGATAATATGTGTTTTGATAATATGTGCCTTGCAAAAATGAAACGGTGTATATTTAAAGTTTATTTGGGATCGAAATAAATAGGCAGTTTCACAAGTCCAGCTTCTTGGCAGTGTTTAAGACAAGAGTGGATTTATTTTATATAAATAGACTACCTGATAATCCTTCAATGCCATTGATCTCTATGGTTCTCTATGATTGACCATAGATCTCTGTTCAACATAAATACTTATACCAGTACATGTACATATTTACCAGTATAACGCCTTTTGGGGCGACTAACGGAGCGAGCGAGAGGGTGGGCCTTGCATGTGCGAAATTGCGAGGGGTACCTCCAACTGACATATGCACGGCACCCTACTAACCGGTCTCTAGAGATGTGCCAAATTTGAGCGCAATCGGCCCAGCCGTTCTCGAGATCTGGAGTGGCACCCTGCACGTGCGCACGTGCAAAATGGGTCCCGACTGACTTTTGCATGGCACCCTACTAACCGGTCCCTAACCATGTAGGTACCAAATTTGAGCGCCATCGGTCCAGCCGATCTCGAGATCTGGAAATGACCCCTGCACGTGGGCACGTGCAGCAGCACCCCAACTCTGGCACATGGATATGCAGTGCCTAGTGGGGCCTACCTACATGCCAACTTTCAACGCAATCGGCCAAGTAGTTACCTACCGAAATATTGCAACAATTCCAAAACTGACACCTCTTCGTTTTGCACGTGGCACGTGCATAAGGGGTCACCCACATGCATCGGGAATAGTCCAATACTTGGTAGAAGGAATGAAGCTACCCAACAAAAATTACCACGTGTAAAATTTATGATTTATTATATATTGATATGCAATAAAATGAAGTGAGCTAAGGCTGCTAAGCACATCCTGGTTCTCTTAAATTGAAATGTTTTCAACTCTGGCTTCTCTGACTCTGGCTTCCAAAAGTCAACTCTGGGCAAACTTAAAGCCTTGCTGTTTTTCACGTGGTATTAGCACGTTGAGGAAATCCTCACGAAAATAGCTGTTCTTGCATCGTGAAACGAGAGGAATCCCGCCCGACTTCATCAAACACATGCCGGAACGGCAGTTTTAGTGAGAATTTTGTTGGGGGGAGGGGAATGGTAAAAGTATACATTGAGTCCGAGTGACTGTTAAAAGATAAAGTTTTCATATTCTTACATTATTTGACATCCTGAATCCAAAAATGATACTTGACAAAAATGACCTGACCTTGCCTGAAAATGTGGTTGGTTTCTGAAGATCTGGCTTGAATCAAAGGTCAGATATGCATGCCAAGTTTCAGCTCTATCTCCTATCGCGAAAAAAAAAACTATTGGGCGCCAGCCTCCCCCCCCCCCCCTCCCCCATCGGCCGGCGATGGTTAAAGCACTCCATTTCTATATTTGTTTTCCACTGACTAATACGTTGTTTATTTTTCAGGTATGTCACTGTAGAGGACGGTCTACATAAGTATTGAAAATAGTATTTTGCATAGAATCGTTGCTAGTCATCGTCCGAATTACATCATGGAAACAGCTACGTCTCGGTTGTTTTCTCGTCATATACTGAAATGCTGCCGGAGATTCAGTTGGAGTCAGGGTAAGCCAATAGTCCATTAAGTCAATTTTAAGTCAAGACATTGCTTTGTTTTAGTGTCATGATATACAATATCGCTAGAGCTAGTCATTGCACATGTTGCGTAGAAGAAGGCACATGTAATTGCGTGCGTGTGCTTATGTGTACAAGACGGTTGCTTGACGTACACTGTCGGCACTGGTGAGCGGGTCGCCATGCTCTCTGAATCTCTTGCTTTATTTTCTCTCGCCGGTCGTTATAATAAAGGTCAGATACTCAGATGTTATAATAAACTTAAACCGTCGCTCGGTGTCGTAGTCTGCCGTTTTTGTCGCGAACTTTTCGTTGGTCCTTACGAAGACATGCATGCGTGTCGCTAGCAGCGGTATCGGTGCATTAATGGTACTCTCACTCTCCTTTCCAGGCCGGAGGACGTTTCTCTCAGATGCATACAAGTGCCAGGACCTCTGGGATGCCCGCACAAGCCTACCCATCTTCAAAGACCTAAATATGGGTACGACATGATACAATTATGCTTTTCATGCTTACATATTTAATTGTTGGATACAGTTGTTAAATGATAGCCAAGGTTTTGCGGTTATCAAAAACGGTCTGTGCGCCACTCTTTCACTCATATAATATGCATTTCCTATACAATGTGAAAGTTTCACCCTCGGGCCATGTAAAGTCAGGTCACATTAGGACTTGACTTGCACCAGTAAGTCAGTCAATAGCTGGTAAGGACCCTCACTTCAAGAAAATCATGAATAGCACTCATGAAAACGAACTGTTCTTGTTTCAGATAAGTTCTACCTTGCCATTGATAAGAATTTTCAAACAAAAGGGAAGGTCCTTCCTGTCGACATTGATATCGTAAGTACCAGTTATTGTAGTCGGATAGTGCGAGGTGTTTTGTCCTCCTTGCATTCCCCGGTGGTTCTTGTTCCGTCTTCTGTTTCAGTCGGCGATGGCCGACTGACGTGTGTTTTGTGGAACGATTATTGCTACTAGAAGCCATATCTTCGTGGGTCCCATTGATGCTCTTATGGTATTGACTTGTAACGGGCATTTAAAATGTGATTGCAGTGCATGCTGATACCAATTACCAACGATCCCGACCTTCGGCTCGGTAATTTCTCCTTGCCGTGTATGCTAATAATGTGGCTAGGTATGTACCATACCAGATTCTCTGATCTAGCAACATTAGGCTAAAAACCTGAATTAACGTATTGAGTTTTGTATCTTTACGTAGGCTGACAAAATAACTTGGACTGATGTGTTTTGATGGGCCATAATGTCTAGATCCTCGGCTGATTTGAAGCTTGGTGTAATGTGCCACTTGAGTGCAGTTCGGTACCCGCTATGATATCCTCAATAGGTATGTGAATCGTCCTATACGAAACCTCGAGAATAGCGTATCTGCATGCCCGGCCCTCCGGCCTCCCACCCATGTAACGCGTTCCCCCGAGTGTATGTTTGTGCCATGCGCCGCTGTTGCCGCCAGTTCGCCGTGAATGCCGTGTCGGACCAGCAGCTGGACGACCTGCAGGACGTGCTGCACCGGTTCCGGCGCACGCCGCTCACCACCGGCGCGCTGCCGTCCACCGGCCACGCGCTGGTGCGCGCCCTGCTGGCCGCCGCTGACCCGGAGCGCCAACAGCGCCTTCTGGATGTGCTCGACGACAGGATGAACTACGGCGTTTTCCTGGACACCCACACGGCCAACATGTGCATGGACACCTTCCTCAAGGAGGGCAACTACAGAGGTACGACAGAGCAGCTGTCGAGGAGCGGATCGGTGGTAGGGGGTAATATGAGGCACGTCGGCTGCCCGGCAGCTTGTTCGACTTTTGTTTTATACATTTCTGTCCGTAAAATGAATAACGTCCCGTTCTTATATATTCGCATATTTTTCGTCGGCGGTTACACCTGAATTGCTCGAGCTCAACTTGTGCACTGTGTAACCTCGTCACCCCGGCCCCCTTGCAGACGCGGCCAAGATCGCCACGCACCTGATGCTGCAGGAGGAGTGGTCCGACCCGATCAACCGGGCGCTGGCGCTCTACTCGTGCTGCGCCTACGTCGAGAACCCGGTGCCCGAGCCGTGGCGGCAGCCCGACCCCGAGGAGGATCCCAAGGCGGAAACGGTGAGTTCAGGGTACCTACCAAGGTATCAGGGTACCAGAGCCCTCGACTGAAGTAGTGGAGACAGCCCGACCCCGAGGAGCACCCCAAGGCGGAGACGGTTAGCTCCTGAGTGCCGACCGTGACTCCGTATAATGAAACTGACGTCTGATAGATTGTTGTTGGTTGTTGACTAACGATAATGGTACGATAATCAGGCTAATGTGTAGATTTGATTTAATTGACGATGATGACTATGATTGACTGATCATTATTCGTATGGTATATGCCAGCAAGAAGATTGGCTTGCAGTCGACGCGCCCTAAAGCCCCAATAAACAAACAAACAAACAAGAAGATTGGCTCACATATTGAGCTGTCGATAGACTAGTTTGATGAAATGCACCAGCACCAGTACAGACTAGTTAAGCAGCACTCAAAGCGAGACGACTCTGCAAACTAGACGTTTTCGTCATCATTTCACTGGAGACATTGACTGACCCAAGACTGACCTAGTCGAGATGAAATTTATGTTCGCCGGCTGTTGGCAGTCAGTAACTCTCCCGCCCCGCCTCCCCCTCAGGAGTTCATCCGGGTGAAATACCTGCGTAACGAGTGGAACGACGCCCACTTTGATCTGCGCGAGTGGTGGGAGCTGTGCGGGAAGACGCTGGCCTGGGTGGGCGCCTCGGGCGACCAGCTGGGGGACCGCAGCTGCCAGCTGCTCGGCTGGGCCCTCTGGCGGCAGTGGGACCAGCTGCGTCAGTGCTGCGACCGGCTGCAGGGCAGTGACGGCGTTTGCAGGGATACGGTGAGAGAGCGGCGGTCGGAACCGGCGGGGGGGGGGGGTAGGGATGCGAAACGAGTCAGTAGTTATTGATTTGCATTAACAGCTGCTACATATTTGTATAGCTTGTACCCTTGCTCATCATTTGATAATTGTTAGTTCCTGCGCCAAACCACGGTTAGTCCCTCATCATCGGTCACAGTCACATTTGTTATTCAAATATTTAGAAATTTGTGTCCTTTTACCTACTGTATTCGATCCACCTATTTTACCGTAGGCGTAATTGTGGTGGATCTACTTATATTATAGTTCACCAGCGATAAATTGCTAGAAAATCAACAGGTGTGCTGGTATTATATATCGAAGTCAGAATATTTTATCGAAGTATAACCCGCAGTAATATCTTATCGAAGTCAGAGTCCCTCTACTAAACCGTATCTGCCGTCGTATCCCCTGTACCCCATGTGCTCCCGCCCACCGCCGCCGTGACCGTGTGTGTGTGCCGCGCCGCCAGCTGGAGCGGGTGGCCGGTCTGCTGGCGGACGCCGGCGACTCGTGCCCGGACGCAGCGGCGCTGTCGGCGCGGGTCTCTGCGCTGCCGGCCGCCGACGCCCCGCTACTGGAGACGCTGCGCCGCGCCGCTGAGAGCGCCGTGGCCGAGCACGAGCCGGCGGCGGTGGCGCAGCTGCGCGCCACATACGCCGACTGGGAGCGCCGCCGGCTGGAGGCGCTCGAGCAGCAGCGCCAGGCTGAGGAGCGCGCGCGCCGCGTGCAGGCGCTCGAAGAGAAGCGCCAGGAGCTGTGCGAGCGCGAGCGGCTGCTGTGGTTCTTTGACCGCGAGGAGCAGCTGTTGGCAGAGGTGGACCGCCAGTGGAACCGGCCGCAGCCGCCCAAACCGCCGCACGTTCAGAAACTGCTGCGCAAGAAGCGGCCCACGCAGACCGACTACGTTCCGCCGCACGTGCAGCGTACACACAACCAGTGATCATCAACAGGACCGTGTGTATATCTGTGTGTGCTGAGAGCGTAGAGGGCAATACATCGATGACAGTGTAAGACGCACAGTGATTTTGGTAGCATAGGCATTCAGTAATTAACATTAATTAGTGACTATAGTGCTTTGCCCGCGGCTAGATGTAGCTCCTGCATCGTATCACCCAAACGTTGGCCTAAGTAATCCGATTCGATACAAATCAAGACTGAGATAAGCTCTTTTGTTTATATGTTTCTACCCTGCGTCCCTAGCAAGTCCCGATGGTGATGCACGGGGGAGTAGGCTTGCGAAACATTTTGGCAGCAACCGAGGCAACTGCCTCGGCAACATTTTTGACCCGGCACAGAGGCCTGCAAGGCGATATAACCGAGGCCTGGATGGCGATGCGATGGCCCACGGAACATCGCAGGACAGACTTGAGACAAGGGAGCAGGAATACAAAGCTTGTCCCAGCCAAGGCCATATGTAGATCCCAGCGTCTATAACAAAACAATTTCGTGGCCGCATCCAAGGGCTATTTTAGAGACGTTAGTGGTGACTAGTGCGCCAGTTCACTTTTTTTATTGATTGCTATAAATGACGTCATGAATTTTGCAGTTTCAGTCTCATTTTTCTTCAATGTCACAGAAAATACGGTACTCAGGCTGTATATTTTGATATAAATGATATGCTATGATATTTTGAAGCGATTATTTTGCTATTTTTGTCCATTTCACAGTTTCAAGCCTCTTGAATGTTTGTGATGCTTGCCTCCATAGATATAAAAGACTAGATGGGACATTGGCAGTGTTTTAGTGCGTGCGACTGGCCGCCATGTTTGTGAGGGCGGGAATCTGCGGCGCTGTGTAAACACTACGGGAGGAGGGGGGTATTTGAGACTGATTTTGTGGTATTTTTCGACCGAAAAGTGCTAATCTTTTTTGCTCACGGCATTCTTTGGAATGTTTAGATTGTGGAACAAGTGCTGAAATATGCTTATCTATTGTAATTTGGCTACGTTAGCCTTAGACATGTTGCACTGTTGACGCTGATGAAGAATAGGCGGCACCAAAGGTAGATTTGCTTGGCATGCCTGTTTTAGATTTAATTCAGTTCCCATGTTTTTTTTTGTGCACACCACAATCCTTTAATTATTCTTGCATGGATAGAGCATCAGTCATATGATTTTTCACAAAGAAAGCTTACCTAGATAGGTACCAGAACATTGGCAGCGGAAAGCAGACTCATTACCTACACTTGCTTTGCCTGCTCACTTTCTACTGTTGCCTTCAATGGACAATATTTATGAAGTAAGAAGGTTTTATGATTATAGGTTTTAAATAAGTACTTTACTTAATGTCATCAGTTAGGTATTAAATAGTAGTTCAGTGCCAAATGAAAAATCCATGCACTATGCCAGATGCCTCGGGGGCTCTTATCCGCTCTGGGTTCAGAGTGCAGTGTGAGTGGCATACCACGCTCACCCTCAACCAGAGCTGATAGATAGTGAAAATGCCAGACGTCGTGATATCTGCACCAGTGAACCGTGTCGCACATTTGATCCCAATAATGAACAGCACAGGGGTGACGTAAAAATGTGCGTTAGTTGGAGCACCTAAACTCAGATTGTCATTACCTAATTAGTTTTCACATTGTAAAGCTTAAGCTACACTTCATGCTCTTTTGGCTCACCTGTTATCAGTATTAGTAAATAGGGTATTAGTAAATCTGGCATTACCATCAATGCTAAGTGCTAACAAGTAAATATGAAGTCCAAGGAAGATAAAAATCGTAATCTTACTTGACCTAACCTTACCTACTAACCTAACTAACCTACAACCTACAAACCTCAACCTACATACAACCTCCATACCTACAACCTACCCACCTACAACCTACCAACCTTATATGTGCCGACGGTGGCACCAGATTTATGGATACCCTTATTTGTTAGGTACTTCACTCCACTTCTCATTTTATTTGAAGCTCATTTAAATTATTGTATTTAAGTCTGTGTAAACTATTATTTTAAAAATCTGATGCTTTTCCATGACTGTAATCTCACTGTTTGCTATGTGTATTTTGTAGTGTGTACTGTGTGCAAATCCAGTATCCTACACTTGTATGCTACAGGCCTTGTTTTGATCTGACTAACTGTTAATATGTTTCAGCTTTACAGACTAGTATCTTTTGAAATTGAAATTTGCCTCTCAGTCTCTCAAGAATCAAGATGCCAAATAGATGTGCAGGATTTGATTGCTGACAAACCAGGGATGAGGCTCAAGAGTCAAGAGATCACCCTGCATTGGCAAGTAAAAGCTGCAGACTCTTGATTTTTTATATTGTTACAGGTTATCTGTCACCGAGAGCGATTGCTGTAGTTCAATTTCTTGCATCAAAATTGGCAGAATATGACTTCACTGATCACTCTGACGTCATTTCCGGCCGACCTATGGTAGCTACACAATTTTTATTTCTATAAAATGTTTCAGATTGATGCAGCCGAAGGTACTGCAAGTTTCGTATTGACACGTCTAGTGGTTTAGAAATATTGCAATAAATATATATTTTAATTTTTTCAATATATAAATGTAAATATTTTATTGCAGAAAACAGGAGAGGGGCTCTAGAGCCCCACCCTCCAGTCATGCGTGGGTAAAGGCCCATCAGTCACTAAAACCAGAATAAGTGCAAAAAAATTATTACCAAATGCCCGGAGACTGCTTTACCATTGCCAACATGTGTGTGTGTGTGTGTGTGTGTGTGTAGGTGCGTGTGCGTGTGTGTCAACAATGTGTTAACAACAAATACAACACTTGTGCCTGGCGTATGTTAACACTAAACACTATTAGCCATATTTTATTGATAATAATCGAACCTTCCAGGTGGCTGGAACAACCCCAGTGCCGCACAGTTCTGCGGGATATTCCGGCACCTGCTCCACCGCTGCGGCGTCCGGCCCGGCAGCACAGGGAAAGTGGCAGCCCTCGACCCGACCAGCATCCTGGCAGTCGGTCACACGACCAGCGGACGGGGAGCCAGCCTTACTACCTCGGCCTCCACCACCTCAGACAACGGTGCCACGGCACTCCACATCATCACGGAGCACGACTTCCAGCCTGGGCTGTCGTCGCCATCTACATCGCAGGGTTCGTGGTGAAGAAGGCGCTCGACTCTGTCAGCTGTAGCACCTGTCAGGAGACCCTGGTGAGCGACATCCAGCCGGACGACATGACACAGCTTTACCACCTCTTCATCATCTCTGCCAGATGAGCTAAGGTGGGGACGGGTTACATGCCTGGGATCTGACTGAGACCCGCTCATACCCTGCCGAAGTGTTGGTGATTTCAGCGGTCAGCTGTCTCTAGCCGGTGTCAGTGAGTCGCGGCCAGCTGCCGCTGGAGTGGGTATCTACCGTCGATAGCTGCTGTGTGGCGGATAGCGTGGATTTGGATGGACACTTCATATTAATGAACAGATCAATGTCTGGCCGATAAAAGACGTATTTTGTCGATGATTGCTTAGTGACTGAGTGGGTCCACTGGCGACCAATGCAGTGGGCGCTGGGTTAACGCCTCGCCTCTTGTGACCGTGTCGATATGTAGCACTGTTAATTGCCGATTCGTTGCCGGCCGTCTCTGCTCCGTGGCTGGCTGATCCGGCACAAACTGGTGTTCTTGGCTGAAGGCGCGGCTACAGTTACACTAGCTCGCCACGTGGCTGTGCGACTATCGTCGGTGCTGTCTGCAAGGGCGATGTCGGTGCCTGTAGGGGGCGCGGATTGATTCAAAGTGAGGAATGGGTCATCGGAGCTCGGGTCAGGTCATGTTCGGCTAAAATAAGCGGATTTTGCGATTTGCCGCATCCGGGTGAATTTCCTTGCCTTCTAGTGCATGTTTATGCATTTTACATGCGTTTTTTAGTGTTGATGTCTAGATAACGTGCATTTGCCTCGAGGTCAAGGCTGCGCTTCATATGGGCAGTTTTCGGAGCATCTTGCTCATTTTATTCGTAATCCTTAATTATGTTTGCGGATTTGTGCCTGCAAATCATTTTTTAAAGTAAGATTGACACGGGATTCGAGATCGGCGCCCATAAATACACTTCACATGACCCGCCATGTGTCAAGGCCATCCGAGGTCATCTAAGGTCGCTGACCTTGTATGACCTTATGTGACCCGGTTCGCTAGATTTCGAGATGAGGTTGATTGGGAATGATGTAACCCATTTCGCCGACAGTTCACGCGTTTTGGTCGATTTTATAGCGAAAGATCTCAAACTCCAGTGACTTTACTGGTTCGATTTCCAGTGTTTGACCTGACCTCTGAGTTCACCTGTTGACCTAGTACCCTGAAATTTGGTATCACTGGTTTACTCACATCGCGGACAGCATACCTATTTTTTTCCGTTCTTGCTCCGTCGAGGGGCGAACGGCTGGAGTTCACTCCGTTCACCCTGGCTTCCCCTACTCGTAAGACGCTGACAAACTACGAACGGGTGAGGGCTAAAATTGCACTTATTGTCGATCATTGTCCATTGCATACTGTATACATAGATATAAAGTATGGTAGCCATAATGGGAAACGAATTTAATCTTAAATTAGCATGCCAATTGCATCTACCTTCGGTGCCGCATATCCTTTATCAGCGTCTTCAGGGCTATATGTCTAGGGCTGATGTAATTACATTACAATAAATACACATGTTTCTGCCCTTGTTTCACAATCTACTCATTCCAAATAATGCCATAGGTAAAAAAGATTAACACTTTTCGGTCGAAAAATACCACAAAATCTGTCCCAAACACCCCCCTCCTCCCATAGTGTTTACACAGCGCCGCAGATTCTCGCCCTCACCAACATGGCGGCCGCTGCTACGTATTCGCGAGTCGCTCCCGACATGGGGGTGCCCTATCTAGTCTTTATATCTATGCTTGCCTCGATTTATGGCCTTGATTAGGACTATTGCTTGCAGTGAGATGGCTGCAATTCATCATCCTTGAACGCTTGCTGAGGATGGTGTGAAAACTAAAAATAATTTTTCCACGTGTAATGAAAGTGATTCCCTGTAGGTGACCATTATATACTTCACAAAATTACTCATTTTGATCTATTGATCGTCCGTCACTTAGTGTGTCCCAAAATTAGTCGTTATTTGTTTGCCTAATGCCTTCAGTTCTGTGCTGCTGTTAGCATCCATGCCTATTCCTATAACAATAGCATGTCAATGGGGGTCTGTCACAAAGCATCAGTGGTGGTTTTTCAGCTTTGAATGTCAACCATTGTTTCTAGACACAAACAAATTTGAGGCTCGAGCAGTTAAAGTTCAAAGTAGTCTGGCAAGTGGCATGCTCAGCTCACGCCAGTCTGCAAAACATGGCAGGGAGCTCGACAAGATTTTCGGGGCAGACAAAATCCTGCCCCGAATCAGAATGCTGAGTCCAGGGGCAGCCCAATTCCTGCCCCTAATGATGCAAATAATGTAACGATATAATGATGGAGGAAGCAGTGAGAAGCTGAGAAAATCACTTCTGTGTCAATTTTTTAACTTCTGCACCAGATTTTCCTGTTTCTGCCCCAATCTTCCTGAAACCTGCCCCTATTTCTGCCCCAATCTGTGGTGTCTGGCACTCTGCCCCGACGAGATCTCGTCGAAGCCTGCCACGTTTTGCAGACTGGTGCTCACGTAGGTACATGGCATGTTCGTAAGATTATTGGTCAGTAATCCATATCACAAATTGTGAAGGCTATCAAAGTACTTGCTTGGTCTTTGATAGTCTCCCACTTATAAAAAGGGGAGTATAAAACTGTTGAATGCAATGTGGACAGGTCATTAACATTTTGAATTCCTTTTAGTGCTAGGCTACCCAATGTGGAACCTCGAAATTAAAAAAGGAATGGGGATGATAGTGGTATTGTGCATCTGTCTGCATTTTGTGGACAATCTTGTGAAAAACATAGTCAATGTTAGAATCTGAAGCTGACTATAAGATAAAAAGGACATGTATGTCTAAGCAAAAAAAGATTCATAGAATATTTTTGAGATGTGCCTGAATGGGCTTCATAAGATCAAGATGTGGAAGAATAAAATGTGTTCCTTGTAGACTGACAGACAGGAATCCAAGCAAAGATAGGAGTTAAGGCCCTACTCCTCCAGACCTTTGGCTGGGGTTCCATTAAACTATGATGGCAACTTTGTTGAGTATTTTATCTGCAATTTCTTATCAATGCCTTCATTTTTGTAAATAATATGCTTGTTTGAACATATAAGATTCAGGATTTTTGAAAGGTTACAATATTGCATGCCTTTCTCAACAGTCATTGCCATGAGGCTGCTGGTGGGTGACCAATGTTGATGTATTCACTATTCATCACAATGCACAGATGCTTTGGGATTGTGCAGTCCCTCAACACTGTGGAGCTGTCAGCCACACAAAAGTAAAAGCTGCTTTGCACTTCAGATTGGATCAGAGTGAGATTTCAAACACCTTCACCTGGCTGACCCACTTGAGTCACTAGGTCTTGTGTTATTTTGTTTTCATAGGTTTGAATAAGTTTCCACACAGATAACAGTAGTAACAGTAGTTTTACTGTTATCTGTGCTTCCCATAATAATGAAGCCAATTCAGAATTCATTTTGCATCTCAATCTGCCTAGGTACATAACCACACCAGTTTGCTTTGTTACTAATGTTTGGTTTCAAGGAGGCAGCATAGTGAGAAAGGAAGCTGCAAAGAGCTGCATTTCCTATGGCTTGATGCTTCTAGTAAAAACTTCCAAGGACATGTAAAATAATAGATTATTGTTTTTTAAGACTTCCTTGTGGCATGTCCACAACATTATCACCTTGTGATTGTTGTGGACTTCTGCTGGTAGTTTGGCTTAACATTCCAGATTCCATTTGACCAGACTGTTTGGCTGCATTTTCAGCATTTGTAGCTGTAGCTGCTGGTGATCATGGTGAAACGAGGCATTGAGCACAAACCAAGCTGTCAAGATTTGGGAGAGTCATCAGATTCTGCATTCCAGGAGGAAATCGAAACAAGTGAGTCTCTCCACAGGCTTTGAAAATGTTGAATCATGAACATTTTGAAACCCCACCTTGGCCTTGGATAAACTGCTTCCAGTTAGGTTTGTTTTTATCAATTATGTGTGTAGTGTTACCCTCCCAATAAAAAATACTTTTGGTGGAATGTTTATTTCAATTTAATTTCTGAATAATAGACCTTCATATGCTGAAATCCAGTCTGTAATTTTGCTGAATTTCAGCTTGTAGTTAGGTATGAAGTGGAAGTTGTATGTGCTCATCAGTCTCTGTTTATGTAGTGCTCTGTGCTAGTCTAATAGTCTGAAGCTGGGGAGGCCAGTCCCTACAAGTATGTTACAAAGATCCGAACCTAGGTATTTCTGTTTTCAGGTATAAGCATGTGCCAGCACGTGGGCAAGAGTGTCAGCCTGGCTGACATTAAGCGGCAGCTGAAGTCGAACCGGCGGATCGGCGCCTGCGACAAGAAGGTGCCGACCCCATGCACGGCACCCGCGGATGGGGAGGAGGTGAGGGACGCCCACTGGTGCGAGGCGATGGCCGTCACCAGTAGTGACGTGAGGTGACTAGCTGGTGGTTAAAACCAGATCAGCCTTGGAAACTGTCTTGTACCAGTGTGTTTAACATGGGGTTTCTATCATCTCATCCAGCTCATGAAGCAAATCCTTAATCCCGGAAATCCGTATCTGCCTGCATCTGTAGCACTCCTTGTCTGCATCTGTACCTGTATCTGTCCGTGTTTCAGCAGTCGGTGCCGTCGGGCGCGCAGCTGCCGCACGGCGTCTGGCTGTGCATGCAGTGCGGCCACCAGGGCTGCGCGAGGCACGCCACGCAGCACTTTAACACGCCGCGCTCCGACTCGCACACGCTGGCCGTCAACGCCGCCGCCGACTGGGGCGTCTGGTGAGGATGCTGGGGTGGGCCGTCTGGTGAGCAATGAGGTCACGGAGTGGGGCGGCAGCAGCTGCCGACTGGGCCGTCTGATGACAATGATGCGGTGGGGCAGGTTCTTGGTTCCACGCTCGGCGGGTCGTTTCGGGAACTGTTCCTTACACTGACGTTTCGTGGCTGTCTAGAGAAACCATTGACGTCTTCGTAACCCATTGCATTTGGCTAGGAACGTACAACACGCACTTATTCACATTGCAGTGTTTCCACACAATGATAAGCTTCACTGTTGCTTATAACGTTGTATTGTATTTCCAGGTGTTTCACGTGTAACGAGAAAGTGTCACTGAAGAGCAATAAGAAACTTCACGAAGCTGTGCAGTTTGTCAAGAAAAAGCAGGGAACTCTACGACCCGGAGGTAGGTAACTTAGTACCACTTCCAGGCTCCAAAATCTATGGAAAAAATGCCATTTTCTCGTCTATGGAAAATGGCATACGTCACAGCAGTCCATAAGAAGGGATCAAGAACTGAAGCCCAAAACTACCGCCCAATTAGTTTAACCTGCATATGCAGTAAAGTGATGGAAAGAATCGTCAATGAACAAATAATGAGTCATATTTTGCAGAACGACATTTTGAACCCACGCCAACACGGATTTGTTTCCGGAAGGTCGTGTTTAACAAACCTCCTCTCCACTTTGGAAGACTGCAGCCGCAGCCTTGATGAAAAGGTACCTACAGACATTGTCTATCTAGACTTTGCAAAAGCTTTTGACACCGTACCACATGCAAGACTTTGTCATAAATTATACCGATCAGGGATTGGCGGTCAGCTGCTTAACTGGCTTGAAGACTTCCTCTACGATAGGAAACAGAGAGTTGTAGTCAACGGAGCCCACTCAAGCTGGGCAAAGGTAGCAAGTGGCGTCCCACAGGGCTCAGTGATCGGTCCCACACTGTTCCTTCTGTTTATTAATGACATGCCGGATCAAATAGTTAGCCAGGTGCAAATTTTTGCTGATGATAGTAAAATCTACCGACACATCAAGTCACATGAAGATGTGGAGCGCTTACAAGGGGATCTCCAAGAGATTGAGCACTGGTCTCGTCAATGGAAACTATGCTGCAATGCTTCTAAGTGCCAGACCCTTCGAATCGGCACCAAACAAATGATGTCCGACAGACCAGTCTACATGCTCGGTGGTACTAAGCTGGAGAACACCAACGAACAAAGAGACCTGGGTGTTATTGTTGACTCCTCGCTCGAGTTCAACAAACATATCAACAAATGCACCCAACGAGCATATGCCAGTTGGGGCATGGTAAGGAGAACCTTTGAAAAGCTGAGGCCGGCAATGTTTAATCTCACATACAAAACATTTGTTCGCCCTCACATTGAATTCTGTCCCCAAGTGTGGTCTCCATATAAGAAATATAATATCAAGAAGATTGAAACAGTTCAAAGAGCAGCTACAAGAAGAGTTGTGGGACTGCAAGGGTTAAATTATCCAGAGCGGCTGAGACAGCTTAAGCTTACCACCCTAGAAGAGAGAAGAGAACGGGGAGACTTACTTGAGACCCACAAAATCCTCCATCAGCTCCACGAGTGTGACCTCACCCAATTATTTAACGTTAGAAACCGAACAGAGCGAGATTACCTCAAACTGTACAAGCCCCACCACCGGACGTTGAAGAGAGGAAGATTTTTCTCACAAAGAGTTATAAATGAATGGAATTTGTTAAGCTCTCACACCAAGATGGCAAAAACATCTAACCAATTTAAGTCAAGATACGACAAACATCGGGCAGACAGACAAGACTGACCGAAGAGAAATCAAACTGATATAGAAAAACGCGTGATTCAAAAAAGAAATGGGCTACAACATAGACCTCGACGTCTTCTTCCAGAGCCCAAACAACCTTGATTCTTGATTCCAGCTTTATTTGACGTGTTTTTACGGTTTGTTGGCTCGTGACTCGTTAGTCATACAGGCAGATAATTGCAATTATCTGCCTGTAGCTTTTGTTGATCGTCTGATGGCGATTGTAATGTTTGACGGGCATTTTATTTGCATTTCAGCCACGCCGTCCAAGGAGGACACTCCGCCTCCCAAGTCTTCCAAGGGCGCCTCCGCTAAGGAGAAGCAGGCTCAAGCGGACCGCGATAACGAGTCACTTCCGAAGGTCAAGGTGAGTCTTTTCCGGGGTTGATCTGCTGTTTTGCAATTGGATCTGTCTTGGCACTTGAAGTTCCTCCGTGATTGATTTGCAACAATATGAATGGAAGTTTTACCATAGGGATCTAGCATTAGACCTTCGCAAGAGCACGGACAAATCACTCTCCGCAACTGACTGCGGGACCTCTCTTTCCTCTGACAGGGTCTGATCAACCTGGGTAACTCGTGTTACCTGAACTCGGTGCTGCAGTGTCTGAGCCAGTGCCACTACCTGACGCACTACCTAGACATCAGCAGCCGCTCCGGGCGAAAGGTCACAGTCAGCGCTGACGGAGAGGTGAGACGCGAGAAAGAAAGGGAGGGAGAGAGAGAAGGGGCGTCAGGAAGGGGGAGAGTGGCCGAGAGGATAAAAGACGCCATGAGTGTTTGATTGCCTGGCGAACCCAGCGGTCGGTCATCAGACGGCTCCAGTCTGACTGCTGTCTCCTGACTCTCCTCTGTCTGTAACTGATGTCCGTTCAGACTGTGCTGACTGCCGATCATGGCTGCTATCTGGCTAGTCTGTCTGCTCTTTGTGCCTGTCTGTCTGCGCGGAAACGTCTGACCCTGCTGTCCGCGTCTCCGCGCCGTCAGACGATGGAGCTGGTGCTGCCGGAGGGCGGGCCCATCACTGCCTCCCTGTGCGACTTTCTCAAGCAGATGCACATCACGGGCACCGGCTCCACCGTCTCGCCCAGTCACCTGCTCAGAAAGGTGAGATATATAATATCTCCCCCAGTCACCAGCTGCTCAGAACGGTACTGTGTTTCTTTTGTCCTCCTAATAACGTGAGAATGTCCTCAGCTCAATTTACCTTCCGAATAGAAATGCGATCAGTCTATTGACCACCTGATGAAATAGCTAGATATTTCACCTAGTCTCCAGGAGATGCCACCTTGAACGACTATTGTACGCTGTGCCTCTTTGTGTCCGCCAGATCGCCCTGAAGGTGCCCCAGTTTGTGGGCTGTGACCAGCAGGACGCACACGAACTGCTGCGAGCGCTCATGGAGCAGGCGCGGCTTGAAGATCTGCGGGTAAGTGTCCCACGCAACTCCAACTCCGGAGAATGGTCCATGATTGTCCAATAGCGCCTGGACAGGCATGTCCCTGGCCGTTCTAATGTTTCAGGGCGAGTCCCCGGACCCGGACTTGTTCCCTGCACAATGTCTCATCACTTTGTGCTCGTGATGAATACGTCTCACTGGTAAGTTGAAACGTGAAAATCAAGCAATTTTTTGATCGGTCTTTTCGGAGTTTTCGAACCTCCGGATCGGAGTATTATTACTTTGTGTAGAGCAGTGCAGTGCGAGCCGACTGGTGGTACATTTCAGTGTGTGAGCAGCTGCAGTGCGATCATTCTGGTCAGTTAGTGACAGCCGGCGTCCTCCCCCCCCCCCCCCCCGCTCGGCTTCCAGCGGCACCAGAAGCAGATCCTGCTCGGTCTGGGGCTGCCGGCCAAGGCCGACCCCAAGGAGGTACCCGACGACATGAAGGCGCGCGCTAAGGCGCTGGGCCGCCAGGTGTCGCATACGACCATCGACTCCATCTTCAGCGGCCAGCTGGTCAGCCTGGTGGTGTGTCAGGCCTGCATGGCCCGCACACACCGCATGGAGCCCTTCCTCGACCTCTCGCTGCCCGTCGCAGAAGATAAGGTGAGCAGGAGCTGTTGTCTTTGGCAGGTTATTAGATGAGTATTGAGCATGAGCTACCTTGAGTCTGTCAGATCTCATGGATTTATCAGCATTTTGGCATGACCCCTGTTGAGGTTTTGCTAATGAATGCGCCCCGTCTCCATCATAATTATTTATGCTTTCTTCTCCGTCGTTACTCCATGACTACCTGTTCGTCTGTTGCTCGACTTTGAGCTCTCGCTGTCTGTTACCACCTGTCTGTGTGTGCCGTGTATCCCCTCACCTGTTCCACCCTCCCGCAGCCGACCCGTCCCAGGAAGCTGTGCGGTGCGGGAGCAGAGGACGAGGACAGCGGAGAGTACGTCCTCACACCCAGCAAGGCCACCGGCTCCGGGCGGCCCTCCAAACACGCGCTCAAAAAGGAACGGAAGGCGGCGCGGCGAGCCAAGAAACACGGTAAGTGTGGACAGTCCCTGGGGGGCGCTGTGACCTGCTGGTGTGATACGCAGGGTTTTTGTAGTTTTTATGCTGGTGCCTGGTGCACGAGGGTTTACGGGTACGGCATTAGGGCGCAGAAGTATAGATAGGTTGTTTTTGACAAAGCTGTTGCGTGCATATATCTAGTTAATTAGACGAAATATGATAGGATAATATATGTATGACATTCATGCACTATGAGGATAATATATATATGACAATTGACATTCATGCACTATGTGCGTTTCAATTTCCGTTTCACGCTTGATGAGGGAGGGCTCTTTTCGGCCGCAGCCATGCGGTATTTAAATGGCGTGGCTACAATTATAGTTGTGTGCTAAGATATTCGACATGTTTTGTATCACTGAGTCGACCTGATTTTGACCTGACTCCCTCGTGCCCAAAGGTCCGGCGGCGGCGGAGGCGGACGGTACGGGTCCAGAGCCGGCCCCGGAGCCGGAGAGACAGCCGACCAGCGACTCCGGACAGGAGCTCGACAAACAGTCGGACGTCGCCCACGCAGAAGGTGACACAAAATACCGTGTATACGAGTGCTGTATGATCATGGTGCATGCCTTTATACACTTTTTGTCGTCTGGTTCTGGTGTCGTTGTACTTGTCCGCCATTTTCATTTTCTGGACATTTCTCGTAAAGACATTGGGTGGAGACTTCCACTGGCGTCGAACTGAAGCAGACGTCCAAGTTGGCGTCTAACTGGGCGTCTTACTGATGGACAGAGACTTCCAAGCTAGACGCGTCTAAAGTTAGCTGTCGCCAGATAGACGCAGCCGCCGTCCAGCTAGGCGCGTCTAAGACTTAGGCGCGTCTAGCTAGACGCGAAATGGAAGTCTCCACCCATTGTCTCGTCACCAGTTACACTTTGCTATCGCCTGTCGCTTGTTGGCCGTCTGACCCCACCCACCCGCTCTCGCTCCGCCGCAGGTGAGAGTGACGCAGACGAGGAGGATAACGGCGACACGGGCCCGATCATCTTCAGCCTGCTGTCGGAGCTCGACCCGCCGCCGGCCTCGGTCAGCGGGGAATCGACGGAAGACGAGCTGAACGAGCCGCCGGCCTCAGTCAGTCCGGACCCGCCGGCTGACGAACCGCCGGCCTCGGTCAGCCCCGACCCGCCGGCTGACGAGCCGCCGGCCTCGGTCAGCCCCGACCCGCCGGCCGACCTGGCCGCGGAGGAGCTCTCGGAGCGGCTCAGCGCGCTGATCGTGGACCGCGCCGGCGCCGCGGCCGCTGCGGACTCGTGTGGGGACGAGCCGGGCCCGCTGACGGTGAATGGCCGGCCGTCATCACCGGTGGAGGCGGACGCGGCGCCGGCCGGGCGTGTGCCACTGGTCGGTGGAGACGCCCGTCGTGTGCCGGTGGATAAGGAGGATCCCGGAGGAGCCGGAGACGCGGCCAGGAGTCAGGCGGACGGTGGGGACGGGGAGGGCGCCGACAAGGCTCCGAACGGCGCGCCGGAAACGGCGGGAGCGGCCGAGGTGGAGAAGAAGCAGAGCTCTGTGCCGGCGGAGAACTGCGGAGAGGAGGTGGAGGCGCGTGAGAACGGTCTGTGCGGGCCGAATGGACACTGCGGTCAGGCGGCCGAGGAGGCCCCGCGGAACGGCCCGTCACCCTGTGAGCGGACGGACGGCGGTGGTCCGACGGAGGCAGCGGCGAACGGCCAGAGCTCGACGGCAGGGGCGGCGGACGGCGGCGAACCCCAGTCTGCGCCGAACGGCGGCACCTGTGCGCCCACCGAGTCTGCCCCGGCCGAAGGGACGTGGACCGGTGAGGAGGACCCCTCACCCGCGGCCTCCGCCTCGGACGGCCCGCCGCCGCCGCTGAGCCGCTGTGAGTGGCTCAGTCGAGCGCTGACCACCCTGGCGCCGCGCTACCAGGCGGCCGCCGGCGAGTGCAGCCTGCTCACCTGCCTCAACCAGTACACGGCGCCCGAGTTGCTCACCGGCAACAACAAGTTCGGCTGCGACAACTGCACGGAGCTGCGCAACAAGCGGCTCACAGCGGCTGAAAAGGGTAGGGACTTGGGGTGGCAGGCGGGGCGGGGACAGTGTCAGGGCTGGGCACCTCTACAGTCTACATGTAATAAGGAGAACATTACGTCATTGCAGATTTCGCTTGACAATATGTCAAGTGTTTACTCTTAAAGGGACTATCCCACCTTCTAAAATGTTGTTAAAACCAGTTAAATTGTGCCCGACTTTATAGATTGGATGACCAGGAACACGGTTCTGGCATTTATTTTTCATTAAACATCGTAGGCTTCCCATATTCCAAACACAAACATTCAAATATGTGACGTCACAGCCCAAAATTACCTCCTTCCCCAGGCCATATTACTGTCATAAAGCTGATTCTTTTTACTCTGTAGGCACCACAACAAAGTTCAGACCAAGTTTTAAGCGTTTTTTCAACGAAAAAACCCATTTAAATCAGAATGACTAAACGAGGTGACGTCACACTAACGGTCGCTCCATGTTGAAGATAGGGCCTTGTGCAAGGCCCATTTTCAAATGAAGGGAACGAATTTCTTCAACACCAAGAGGCCGCGGGGGTTGCAACCTAGATAGATAGTGGTTTCTGAACCTCGCCGCAAACTTGGCTATCTCAACTCAAACCCCATGTTAAAGGTGGGATAGTCCCTTTAAGTCGGTGCATGTTAAGCGTGAGGTGGACGGATTTATCAGAAGTTTATGTTCAGATTTCATAATTGTGCGATAAATTAATGGCAATTCAGGCTTACAGATGCGCTACCCCAAATACCCCACATGCCTAATACACTTAACCCAATCCTACTAATCCAACTCCATAATTAACTCCCTCCCGCCACTTTTTCAACAGCGGCTGAGAAGAAGCTCGGCACGGTCTACAGCAACGCCAGCAAGCAGCTGCTCATCTATAGCCCGCCGCCGGTGCTGACCATCCACCTGAAGCGGTTCGAGGTGTGCAGCTTCAGCCTGCGGAAGGTGAACCGGCACGTGCAGTTCGGCGAGCGGCTCGATCTGGCCCCCTTCTGCTCCTCCATTAGCCAGGTATGTAATGGCAGCAGGCTGGGTGATTTGTGATCCCTCCATCACTCATCAGTTGAGCAGACAGCGACATGCCCGAAAGCTTCATATTACTATCCCTGCGTAGTGTGCATCCGTTATGTTTCGTGACTCAATATCGTAGCTCGTTGCTACTGGCCTTAGTCATGATTCATCTCATTCAGTCATTCATGATGGAACATTCAGTGATTCATCTCTCGTACCCATATGTAAGCCTCACTCACCGTATACTGACCGCAGAACCCTACCCGATTCTGTGCCACGCAGCCTCCCTGCCCCGTGCGAAATACTCCCACAACGCCGCCAGTGCACCCCGCTGCCGCCCGGCCGATAATCCACCAGCACACACGCTGGCACATGACGTGTGACATCCTCTCTCCCCTACAGGACCTGCCTCAGATGCGGGCCGGCCAGCGGCGGGTGCTCTACTCGCTGTTCGGCGTTGTCGAGCACAGCGGTCGACTGACCAGCGGCCACTACACGGCCTACGTACGCGTCCGCCGCCGTCACGACCAGCTCACGGTGAACCCTGCGCGACTCACCACACTCGTCACCGACGCGTTCGCCGTGGCGTGTGAGCGGGCGAGGCAGCGCGCCGAACAGACCCGACCGGAGACCACGGACGGGCCGCCCCCGGCCAGACCCGCAGAGGAAGGCCGGGGAGACGGGGAGGGTGGGGACGCCGCTGCCGTAGCACAGGAGCCGCAGACGGACCAAAAACAGCCCGGCCCGGAGCCCGAGACGGAGCCGCAGCCGCAGCCGGAGGCCGGGCGGTGGTTTTACGTGAGCGACACGCACGTCACAGAGGTGACTCTGGACAAGGTGCTCAAGGCACAGGCTTACATACTGTTCTACGAGCGAATTGTGTAAGCGACTGCGCTAGCTTGGGATGGTGCTCTGTGCACGGGGCTGTGACGGCGCGCGAATCGTGTCCCTCAGTCTGACCGAGGTGTGATTCTGGCCCCAATCTCCGTCGATGGGTGGAACTCTGTCTCGATCTGCGCTGATGCGCGCTGCGAGCTGCTGTGTAACTATGTCGTGAGTCAAGCGTGCGAGCGTGTGATGTGCCACTGTGATGCGGTTCCTGGGTTTGTCTGATCGGGCCGGGCCTGATCCCAGGCCGTCTGCCGAGCCGTCCTACCCGCAGCTAATAGTTGGCTCCCGGTGTGGGACAGCCCTGTGCGCGCGGATCCGCCTGCGGCGTTGTCCGGGGCCGTTACGGATTTTATGTGGGATAATCCGACCCATGGCGCAATCTTGTGACAGGGTGACAGGGTGAATCTTGTGACTTGTGTCCCCGACATATGATGGGTGCAGCTCAGTTATATGCCGCTGCGCAATGTGGAACACGCGGCTCGGCTCATGACAATATTATGCTGCGTTCGAACGAACCAGTTTCGTCTGTTACCGGTGCAGTGCTATTTATTTTTGGGTGAATACAATTTGTATAAGAGTATGCTAAAAAAAACCTCTTAAGCGATGGATGGAAAATAAATATGCAGTACCCAGGCGATAAATCACAGTAAGCGACAGCACACAGGAGCTGTTTTTAGACATCGACCTACACAAGATGACCACACACATGCTACGAAGAACCATATTAAAGTTAACCTGATGGAATCAAATCATTGACACAATGGCTGAAACGTATACGACATATCTTAGGTAGACGTGACGCTGCCAAGGCGTGCCACAATATCACGAACGCCTTTGGGCTGGCGACAATACGACAAAACCCTATCAGTGAAGTGACGCTCACAAATGCCCTAAACTGGCTGACTGAATGGGAGGTAGTGACAGCCCCGCGATATTCCAGACTTAAGAGGCGGCAGTGAGACTCTCAGCATACCGCTTCGACTAGTGACTGACATCGCACACCAGTCACTAATAACGTAATCACTCAGTATGCATCATCACCGTTGCCGTCATACTTCGGTACATGATTGCCAGTGACATTAACAATCGCAGTATATATCACCAGTCTCGTCACAGTGTGAGTATCTGCGGCCGCACGCCGCGTCCCCGCACTGCCTCTGTCGGCATGCAGAGCACGGGGTCGATGGGCGCCAGCGAGCGGTCCCCGAGCAGCGACAGGCCGGCCAGGCCGAACAGTGTGTGGAACGGGTCGCACACGTCTCCGGGACGGTCCGAGATGCCGCCGTCCTCGCCGTCCTGGCTGGCAAGGATGAACCTGAAGCAGACGGGTGGGGTTAGAGCTTCGAGAGAGGGCGGGGCGGGAGATGGTCAGCGCAGCCCCGTCAGATTCAAGGATACATCAGTGTGGGTAAGCTCAGGCAGACAGAAAGTGAGCTCAGTTACATCAAACTATCAGCCCAGCAGCCCTGCAGCCTCTCAGCCCCTCAGCCCTCAGCCCGCACTCACTCACCTGGTAACGCTTTCCTCGTCGATCCAGTGCAGGCGGCCGAGGATGGACAGCGAGGCGAGCACCCACCACGAGTAGCACACGTCGGGCAGCTTCTCGGGCCGTCCGTTCAGGCCGCCGGCCGGCAGCTGGCGCTCACAGAGCCACCAGCCGGTGCGGTCGGCGTCCAGCTCGCCGAGCCGGCCCAGCAGACTGAGCGCGCCCAGACAGCAGTACATCTGGCCGGCGTGGCTCTCCGAGCGCGGCCGAGAGCCGAACCCGCCGTCCCAGTTGTGGCACGACAGGACGAACTCGCCGGCGGCGGCCGTGTCGATCGCATCCAGACGGTTCTGCGCCGCGGAATAAGAAGGGATGTTACATTTGAGGTGTAAATTCCAGTGACAGGAATGAAACCGCTTACCTACCAGTTGGTAACAAAATAATGGAAACGGTAGCACAACAATCAGAAATTTTTGCGACAAAGGTTGGTTGGGGGCAGATTATCACAAAACACGTTGATAGATCGCAAAAATAAAAAAGACAACGGCTCATAGCTGATACCGTACACGAGGGAAACCGAAACCACGGACGACACCATCCGACAAAGTCCGACAATCACTGCGTTTCCATGACACATCTAAATCCATTTAACGAAATTTCACGTGCGTTTTTCTCAGATACTATTTACCTTATGCAAAAAAGAGCGTATGGCATTATCCAGCACCTAAGCCCATATTTACATTGATAAATGATGCCTAAATGCTATGATGGAGCAAATCCATTTTGCAAAGTCGGCCTAACCTGTGCCATGGAAATGTAGCTTATGTGAACTCTGTCACTGTTTATCGCTCATTACTATATTAAGTTGTCCGTAAAACTGTTTTGCAGTCTGACTGACCAGCAGTGTGAGGCAGGCGATGGCGCAGAACGAGAACCGGGTGTCCACCTCTCCCCAGGCGTCGCCCTGGAAGCTGCCATCAGGTCGCTGTAGGCCGGCCACATACTCCACCAGGCGAGGTACGTCCAGGGTGTCCAGCGCGTCGTACATGCAGCAGATCTGCCCAGCAGTGCGCGGCGCCGAATATCAAGACAGGACGAAAAGGAGAAGCGTGCGTCACACGCGCATCAGTCTGACACGCGTGAGGTACATCATATGTACGTCATACAATATCAGCGCTAGACTGCTCTGAGCAAAACGACACACAAACGGCCGCACTGTGCCGACCTCAAGACAAAATCTGACAGCACAAATGTCAAATTAACTCTGAATCAGCATAAAGTAGTACAGGACAGGCTGCTCAATTAGAGTTCGTCATGACCTGACCGGCCCCGTCCTGACCTGCACGGCGCTGAGGGTGTAGAGCAGGTGCGGGTCGTGTCCGACGGAGCCGGCCACCCCGCCGGCCGGCGTCTGACACTGGCCGATGAACCGGAGCAGCTCGGAGCGGTCCAGCCGGTCGGCGGCACCCAGCAGCCGCAGCCCGGTCAGCGTCCAGTAGGCGCCGCTCATACGCAGGTACTCAGAGATGGTGTTCTCCTGTAAGGGAGTGGAACGGGGAGACATAAGAAGGTGAAAACATGGATGGGTGCGATGTGCTAGATTTACCAGGTCCTTTTTCTCAGGAATTATGTTGCTACTGATAATGAGCACTGAAAAGCAAGAGATATTCTATGTAATCTTGGTCATTATGAATTCAAAACTCATGATGTGAGTGACATAATGTTATACTGAAGACAGTAAGTAGTTGCAGCAAGATAAAGATAAGCATAAAATCAGCAAAAATGTCAGTGCTGCTCAGGCTACACATGCATTTAATGACAAAAAAAAAATCATTCCTACTAATTGTCAGACTTCATTACAAGATCTGGAATGCATAGGTAGTTAGGTACTTACCATAGCATGTTTTGGATTGCTTGAATATGTTGCCAAATATTCTACATGCAGCTTGTGCAGAAGTTCCTTGGGTGCATCATCAGCACATTTGGTAGAACCCTCTACAGACTTCATTGTCGGACTTCAGGCTTCGGACAATGCAAAGACAGAGTTGCCTAAAAATCATAGACAAACAGAGCAATTGGTAACAATATTCTGTTTCACTGAAGCAAAATGCAAAATGCCACTGTTATTTGATACATATATTTACAAAAATTGCATAGAATAGAACATCATGTAACTAAATTGCAGGCTGCATGATGTGTATGTTAACGTATTAGTCTAAGCATAATATGAATCTAAATGAAAATGCTTGAAAATTTTCAACATTATTTCTGAAACTCCAAATAAATTCTTATTGTGTATACCTATCTTATTCATACTGCAATGTTTAAAAAAAAATGATTTGCCTATTTACCTTGGAAGCAACTGGAAGTTTGTGTATTTTTTGCAAAGCGTTCATTGTCATAAAGTAAATACAGCATATCTTATAATTGTTAACGACTCAAAACAGCGTGCCCAAGGTATATAAACACAATACCGTGCCCATTAACTACGAACAATTGTGTCAGAACAATGAAAAACCGGCTGCCACTCGGGAGAGGTGTGGCCGAGGGGCGTAGCCGTTATTGAATTTCCAGAAAACTTAACAATACAAGTTTAAAAATATAAAGTTAACAGAATCTATTAATATAAATGCCATGAGAATTTCAAATAACATTATCATTACTCTTACCCAAGATCTCTTACCTGACTCAAGGCCATATAAAGAAGAGTAAGACCTGACTCTTACCGACTCTTACCTTGACCTAACAGCCATAACCGTAACGGGTGTGTATCAAATGTACCCAAGTACAGTCGGACCCAGAATCCAACGGGACCCAAGATTCATAAGTACCCAGGTGCCTCAGGCTATACGGAAGTACCATAGCGACGTTGGGTCCCAAGGTCCAAGGTTGCCAGAATATGATTGGCTGAGCAGGCAGACCAATCGAACGAGCTGTTAGAAACTACTGTCCCTCAGTACACTCTCTGACAGTGGGCAAGTGCGGTAAAGAGTTCGCATACCAAAGTGACCCTTCCGGAGGACCGGCGGCCGGCGCCCAGTCAGGTAACAATGGGAAGGGTCGGAGGGACGGCCCGCCGCGCCGCACGGTGACAGCTGATTCCCGGGACGCTCAAGTGTCGCCTGTCAGACGCGTCGCCTGCCTCCCCCCTCCCGCCCCGCCGAGCCGCACAAAGCAGCCGGACCCTGTCGCGGAACGAACCACCCGACCATGCTGTCATCATCGGCGGCGAACTGAACTGAATGTCTTTCTGAGTCGTGGCGCTGAGCAAGCCTGAATAACTGGTCATGCTTGCGTATTTCATGCTTCAGCCCTGCTGTGAGCCATATTTTATGATTGCGGATCTTTCGCCGGCACAGGGGGGGGGGGGTTGATGAGGTTTTTCGCGAATAACTCGCGTAAAAAGCGGCCGATCGCGACGAAACTTTCAGTACCCTCGCATTGATCAATTTTACACCTACCCTGAAAATTTCATGACCCTGACCCAAATGACCTTTGACCTGTGACCTCTTTTCCGAGACCATGTTTGGCCGGAATCGCGATTCGGCGTATGTCGGCTCGCATTAGCCGCGCGTTTGCAAGCTTTTCGTCGTTTCAAACGTTCAAACATGTGATTTGATGTTGCTCCCATACATTAGGGTGGGTGTCAAGGTCACCTGAAGGTCAGGTCAGGTCATTGACCTTTGGTGACCTCGGGTGATCTCGGTTCACCTTTTCGAGTTTTACATGTTTCTAGCCTAGTTTTTGGAGCTGAATTCGAATTTAGCAATCATTTTAACATTTACGAAGTAGTTTTGGTGCCTTCGTAACATGTTACGAAGCTGTCAGAGGCGGTTGACACGTATTACGAATATATATACCCGTCACAACCCCTACCGGTTGACCTGACCTGACCTGACCCGACCTGGTCTAAATGCTTAAAGACATCATCTCTGATCAAAACTAACACGATATTCGTGATCGTGAAATTACAGGTATGGTAAAACGTCCCAACTTTGGTTGTCACCTGGTTATGAGTATGAGTTCCGTTTGTATAGATAATGCATTTAATATTCCAGTTTCGGCGGTACTACTCTATTATTTAGGTAAGCAGAAACGTATTAACGTCAGTAACGTGCTTTGGGAGTATATGATTGGATGGAGAACCGTTAAAAAAAACAATACTTCAGCATTTGCAAGCAAAGCTACCTAGCTCAATAAATTCACCCATTGCAAAAAAAAAAATACTGTTTTCAATGTCTTCGTCATCTATTTACCCCAATCAGCAACAATGCATCACAATATAGCCATTTCTGGATTGTGGCAAGCAAATAAAATGGTCAAGGCTGAAACAGATTTTCCGCAGTCAGGAAATCGCATGCGACTTGCGAGAGCCTATTCAAATACATTACAATCCTTCCCGCATCAAACGCATGCGGGAGGTGCGTACGATTGATGCGAGCGTGATTTAATCAATTTGAATAGGCTCTCGCATGCGATTTCCTGACTGCGGAAAGAGTCTGTTTCAGCCTTATTAGAAACCATGCCGGTGCGTTTTGTGAATTTTACAATGCTTGTTTGTAGCGGTATATCTTATATCTGTCATTTATCCCGCGTCGTAGACAGTATTTTCAATTGCTTCACGTGCTAAGAGAGAAAATTATCAGATGTTGAGTAAATGATTTGTTTAACAGGTTCTAGACGTGTAACAGTTGTTAAACGTCTACTGTGACGATTAACAAACTGTTAAACGTCTAGTAGACATTACATGAAATATGTCGGCGGCACGGGATAAATTATTAAACCGCTCGTAGGTAGAAAAATCTTTTAAACGTCTCGCCTATCGGCTCGACGTTAAAAAGATTTGTTGTAGGGGAGAGTGGGGCAAAGCGGCCACCCTAACGCTTCTCACGATGCCAACGCTTGATTTTTAAACTTGGAAAGATCGGTGGTCACGCTTTTGCGAGGCTTATATCTCAGCAACCACTTGACCGATTTACATGCGGTAATTAGTAAAGAAGCTTCATTCCTTCTATCAAGTATTGGATTATTCCTGATGAATGTGGGTGACCCCTTATGCACGTGCTACTTACAAAACGAAGAGGTGTCAGTTTTGTAACAATTGCAATATCGGGCCGATTGCGCTGAAAGTTGGCATGTACAGGGTGTCCCATAAGATCGTTCTCACCTAAATTTTACTTTTAGGCGTACTCTTGTTTTACAACACGTTCAGCGTAACTCGCAAACTAACCCGCGCCCCACTGGGGTGGGGGGCTATTCAATATTCATAGCCCCTGCCGTTTTTCTACTGCAATAACTTCTAAACCGCTTGATGTATCGCCGCCACACTTTCAGTACCTTCGGCTGCATCAATTTGACATCTTGTGTCAAAATTTGAACTTCGTATCCATCATAGGTCGGCCGGAAATGACGTCAGAGTGACGTCATGTTCAGCCGATTTCGACGCAAAACATTGAACCACGGGAATCGGTCCCAAGAGCTCAGTTTTTGAGCTAGATCCAATTTCTTTGCATGAGAGGACTCCGAATGGACTGCGCTATCAAACTGCCATCTCGAATTTTCAAAATTTTGAAAATTTTGAAAAATGTTTATATTTAAATTCAAAATTTGTATTTTTATCTTTTTCAAAAACTTTTTGACTTTTCGAGAAAAAAAAACGGAATACATATGATATAAAAAACGGAATACATGCTTATGACTTACCTACTCTATGCTTTAGGCTAAAAAAAAACGGAGCGCTGAGGACACCAGTAAGGTCATGTGGACTAATTCATGATCGAGATGAAACACTCGCCTAAATCCCAAAACGGTCTCATAAGCGCGAAAGACAGTGCCTCCTTTTCGCCCCTCTTGGTTCCTGTTCAAAAGGCCAGGGCCACGGTATTGTGGGGTTATAGGCGCCCAGGTGCTAACTAAAGTTGCACGAGGTACCCCAAAACTAGTTTTTTTTTACGAAGACTGGTTCACCAGAAGATCTAGGGATCTAAGAGAAGCTTCTTAAAAAGCTCATATCTTTTTCTGTAATTACCTATTGCTGACGAAGCTTCAGGAGCGAAATATTCGATAACTTTAGATATAACTTTTTGGCTCCTATTTCTGATTTATATTATGAGGTTACTGGTTATTCTTATATTATTATTATGATCTAAGAGAAGTCTCTACTTTCCAGCTTAACTCGAACCGCCAGTATTGACTCAGTTTTGGAGGGGAAAATGGCATCAGGGAGATCGGTCGGTCGGTGATACATTAAAGCATTGAGGCAATGATGATGACTACACGTTGACGCTTTGATTTAAACATAAATTAATAGAGACTGATTCTATTCATGTCAATACCTTAATTGGTTTGACCTTGGTACGGCTACCTACCGTCAACCCCTACATCGTAGCAGGGCCTCGTCTAACATGTTAACTGGGGGGGGGGGCAAACCCCCGCAGTCACCGGCCTGCCCCCCCCCCCCCAGTCAGGGTAAAAATGTCACTACTGGGGGGGGGCGGCAAAAGCGAAAAGGCAAACGAATTTTTACTCCAAGGCGTCGATGCGCATAAAAACAAACGCGTAAACGAAACATGGATGCAATGTGAGCATATTGATATACCCGATTAGTACCTCTCACTGTTTTCACGTGTTTAGGTATCTTGTTTACCTGATAGCATTGTTTTTTTTTCTTGGCTCACTGCTCAGCAATACGTTTAAAGGGACCCTCCCACCTTAACATTAGATTTGAGTTGAGATAGCCAAAATGGGGTCCCTGGCTCACAATTACCCGTTTCGGCACTCACAACATCGAGAAATGCCTTAAATCGGAAATATTGAATTTCAAAATTGCAGCATTTTGATTCAGAGGGGCTAATGCTTAGGAATACCCCTCTGAATGTGTGACGTCAGCGCAGATATCTAACGATTTTTAAATGTTTGACTAAAACGTTTTGTAGCACGCGGTTGGTATATGCTATTTGCGCGCAACATCTGCCGCAAACGCCGCACTTCTAAAATAAAGTCGCTAGAAACAGCGGAGATCCCAAAAAAGTAAACAAAAGTAAAAGTCTAATATCTTGAAAACCGGTGAATATTTTTCGGTGAAATTTGGTAGATATTCGTTTGTGCTCTTTCTGAACCGAGCGACATCACTTTCATGCCAATTCATAAACTTTTTTGAAGGTGGGAGGGTCCCTTTAACGTTACATTTCGGGTTTTCAGGCGACCTAACTCTGTGTCCCGCATATTATCTTTCACGTATTCTCCTGTTGTTTCTGTCCTCGGGGCGTCAATCTATTGCTTCTACCCATCGTCGGCCTCACTACGCGACGTCGAACTTCTAGCTGAACGGTCACCGGTGTGCGGCAAGAGTAGCTCCTAATCGTAATGAAGCAGGCTCCCATTCTGGGTGATCGTAAGTTCAGCTTGGTGGTCTGTCTCTGGGGACAGGAAAGACTAGTGTGGGCTACCAGAGGTCAACGTGGGTCCAGAAGCTGGCATTGGCCATCAGAGCTCGGCACCTGACGCTCATAAGCCAGCGGGGCCCATTAGAACCGATCAAGGCCATATATACAGGTTGTCCCAGAATTACCCGAACATTGTTAATTAGCGTATAAAATCGTATAAAATAAGGCAAATATGATTGCGCTTTTTTCTTTTTACCGTCCTATATAGTCAACTAGGGTGGCTGTC